CAAAACCCATACCACCACAAACACGTTCATGGAGTACGTTCCTACCCATCCTCCTATGAGCGATGGTGGTCTCTCCACAGCATTCTGTCAAGAGATCAAAAACAGATATATGATTAGATATTGGTTGTTTTGTATAATTTAGAAGAACTAATTAAATTAAATGAAGCGTGATTAAAAGGTGGCCAACCTCTCTAGCCGGGGCAGAAGCAAAAGTGACCATGTGTGCCATGGCCGGAATAATGTAAACAGTGAAGCTGACCAAGAGAGATCCAACAGTTGAGTTGATGGGCCCAAAGAAAGGGAAGATAATTGCAAGAAACCATATTGGAATCACCACAGGAAGTCTAGCCAACGCCCTTTTGATCAAGCTCTTGGTTTCGTGCACTCCGATGAATTTTTCCCACACAAAGTACAGAGGAGTGCAGGCAAATCCAAAAGTTATGAACTGCAAAAACCACCATTCAATTGTTAATAGACGGCCCCTATAGTTTTTCTTACCTGAGAAGATCGAAGATATTTATATTAATCATGATGATGAGAGAGACCTGGTGAATGAGCATGAGAATAACAGCGGCATCCCTGAAGCCTGTCCTTGGCAGCAAAGAGAGCGCATTGGAATGAGTAAGAAGCATGTCCCCGAATGCCCAATACACTGCTGCTGCTGATGGTAAAGTCAAAGTCAGCACATATAATGTTGCCAACAGATATATCAGCTTGAACTTCTGTGGCTTCCACATCGCATGCATAATTTCCCTGCAATATAATGAGTCAAGTTCGTTCATGCTTTACAGTTATAATAAAATCTGTGTGTTTTATGATAAAGCCAATCTCGAGGCCTCACACTGTGACAGCATGTCCACCAAAAGTGTAGAGAATGTTAGTAGCTCCCGTAAAGTAGAGAACCAATTTGGTTGGCCCCGAGTGCTTCACCGCCTCAACCTTCAAAAAGTATATCCCATGATCAATATATGGAAAATCAATTATTGAATACCAGGTTATGGTGGTACGATTTATCCTTCTTTTTTCCTCCAAAATCATGATGATGATGCTTATGTGAATGGGAACTCACCTGTCCGTGGAGAAGGGAAGCTATGGTGAGATACCATGCGGTGTAACTGGTCATCATGAGGCCCAAGAATGACCAAATTCTATAATTGTGGAAAGAAGGGATAAACACTGTCGTCGCACAGCAGGCGCCAAAGATATAAGTCCAGGTTCTTTTGTCGAGATTGTCGTTTATGTAGTATATGTTACTGAAGCATTTATTATTAGCAAAACGAAATACCCAGATTTTAGCTTCTATGTATCATATAAAGAGTTGCTAAACAAATTTAAACATCCAGAGTCATAATCAAAGGCCTACCTTGCGCAGGCAATTAGTTGAATCACTGATCCGAACAAAAGGAAAGTGCAGTTGAAAAAGAGACCTATGTTTCTCCAGTGTTTGCCAAGGAGTCCGTCAAGAACTTCAAACCACTGCAAAACAAACAGGATCAAATAGGAGAACCTAAAGCAACCCATTAGTATTCACAAAAGGGTCCGCGTGGAGTATGAAGGAGTCAAGAAACTACTGAACACAATTACCTGAATCACATGGTTTCTGAAATCAACTTTTTCTCTTTCTTTTCTGGTTCTGTACTCAACATAAAGGATGCTGATGAGGTAAGCCGTCCAGCTCCCCATCAACCCATAAAAAAGCTGAAATAGAATCCCAGATAACATCCCCAGTTGGGAGAACGAATATGGTAATGTCAATAGCACTTGTGCAACCTGCATTCATTACAACATACAATTAGTTAACAGGGAAAAAGAAAAAGAAAAAGAAAATAGAGACACTGCTTCTGTCGAACTGTAACATGAAATAAACTGAGGTGTATAATGTTTAATCAGTGCCTGATTAGAAGCACAGCTAAACCATGCATCATAGACCGAGCCACCATGCCAGAAGAACCTAGATATCTTGCTCCTAGCTGACTTAGAATCTTCACCCTCTGTCTCCATTTCTAAGTAGTTTCCAGCAACCACAGTCTCTACCTTCTCGGAAGCCATAGTTTGTACCTTCAAGAACTGTGTGTGAAGGAGAAGAAGAGATGAACTTTGAGAGTAAAGAGAGAACGGGGGAAGTTTTCTTTTCACTGTCCCTTCACATCCTATGCAGCTCCACTTTCCTTATATAAACTTTTTCGTCACCAATAAACTTAATAACCCTTTTGTGGGGGCCTCGCTTTGTTCACCACAAGCTTAAGTAATACATGTAACCATAAGATGTAGTCAACCTTCTTCGTAATTTTTCTATCACCAAGGTGCAGCTTCGGCATCAGTTTTGAGGGCGATATTTCACTTTCAACCACTAGTTACTTTTAAGTTTAATAGTTACTTGCGGTTTCGATGTGGCCAGGCTAGCTGCATTGCACGAGCAGGATGGCCCTTTACTGGCCAACTCTTTTTTAAGTTTTTCCTTTAGCATGAAAGAGCTCATGCATACCGATCGATCATGAATATGGATGGAGAAAAAGCAGAAAAAAGAGAAATTTTTCTGTCGAGAAGATTGGAAAAGTTAGTGTGAGTGTTGGCGTCTAGGCAGGGGAGACTAAGATGGAGTGAATGATTGCTCTCCCCTGGGCGCAGGGGGTGTTGGTGCTAATCATGATTATTACCACACGTGTTCCAACTGGCTTTAAAATATATAATATATATATATATATATATATTTTTTTTTTTTTTGAGAGTTGAGACCCGTCCTTGTTTAAAATTCATTTCTTTCCGTTTCCCCATTACTTGCTTTCTGAAACGACATAAATATTTTGAATGTATGGGCCATCGATGTAGTATGGGCTAATGATGATGCTGAGTGCCTTGTGAAGTCACGATAAGTTGGGAAAATATTTGCCATTGTCTCCCAATGAAATTCCTTTCATTTGAGTATTTCCGAGCTTTAATAATGGCAGAGTCAAAGGCATTCGTCTGGTCATAGTTCCTTGCGAGTATTTTCACGGGTTTAACAAAAACGATTAATTATAGCTCGAGTTCTAATCCTTTCGGTTTTAATAATGAGATGATCCTTATCTTGTAGTCAGAAGAAGAGAAACGTCAACCGGGGATGAGAGAAAAAAAAAATATATAGACACCAGTTGTTTTTATTTTATTGTTTTAAAAATTAATATTTTGTAAAACATATTTTAAAATAAAAAAAATAAAAATAGATTCTCTTTTCATTCTTCCTTATTCTTTAAAACAATAATCTTAAAAATACTTAAAAGTTATTTTTATTTTTCTATTCTCCAAAATAATATTTTATTTTTTTATTTTTTAAAAAATATATTATTAAACAAATTTTTTTTTCTCATTTTGAAGAATAGAAAATTATTTTTAAAATAGGTTTCAAACATGCCCTATGTTTCTTAAGGCAAATATCGCATCTTGTTGGGTAAGGTGGTCAACTGCGGTCAGCATGGCCCAATTTCGACAGATCCACGAGGCCCAGTTCTAAATTTAAAACAATAAGCCCCCCCCCCCCTCTACGTCCTTCTTCTTTTTCATCGTCATTTGAAAAAAATCATAAAAGAATGTTTAGCACTCCAATCATAGAAGAAACCCCACAACCACAAGAAGCTATCGCTGTCCCAAATCTTAAACTGAAGCGTTGCCTGTGACTATGAACAATACAACTGTTGCGAGTGCTTTTGTTTTCTGTTTAAACACATATGGCTTTAGAGGATAAATAATTGAATTGTAGACGCGGTTAAAGTCGCAAATGGTGATGGATTGGATAGGATGAATTGAGAGGAGAACTTTTAATGATAGCACGAGTCTTGATGCATCCGTCACAAAAAAGATGACGAATGATTCAACTTTAATCTGATAAACCAAAAGGAACCAGCTTTATTATTTCTTGTAGCGCAGGCTGAATAAATCGGATCGTATCCTATGGACAATTATTGAACATAACACACTACGAAAACCACGTGGACCATTGCTTTCCATGACATGCTGCCTAGATAGTTACATAATAACAATAACTGTTCAGCCTTTTTTCTTTTTCTTTTTGAATGAGGTAACGATTGATCAAACAATTGGATGGTGATTGTCAATCAGTGGAAAGCCAGGTTGATATTTGAATTTGATGGCCAGGGCATTGATAGCCTAATCGTCACTTTTGAATCGGCGAATGGATAAGTTATAACCCCCAGTCCCCCACCATGGCAGGGGATATACATGAATATGAGAATGCCACTGCCTTGTATTCTTGATTTTTAATATATATACAGGGGACCCATACAAGGCTTTAAAAGAGATGAAGTATCGCACTGGCTTGGTTCCCTAGTGCAGGCACGTTAATTTTTTCATGTGATCATTCAGTGACGTTGGTAAATCATCAATGCCAGGTATGCGCGCTTACTCACAACTCTTTTTTCTTTTTCTTTTTTAATATAATAATAGGTAGACTGTGACCTGGGAGTCTGAAATGACTAAAAATACAGGCCAGGGAATTTTCAAAGCCCAACACAAGAGTCAGGAAGCTAAAAGGAAAAATGGGCCAGAGCTGGATCACAGGAAGAATCGGACAGTTTTTTTGACTTGCTGAGGCTGTTTGGGTTGGCTAGAATATAAACAATGCTAAGCCCAGAAGTCTGGTCTGTATCTCAAAGCCATGGCATTACTCTAGTGTTTGCAGCAGGCTTGAACGTACAGTTTGACTTGATCAAGAAACTGAGTGAGCTTGAATCTCTTACCGTTTAAAGAAACTGCAGCAGGCGAAGGAAAAGAATCCAATTGATAAAGCCCTGGGAACTCAAACAGGCTCCACAACCACAACTATACAGTGATGAGGAATAGAACCCTGCATAAACTTGCAAATAACTACTAGGAAAAGAATCTTCCCTTCTTTCCCCTAAAAGCAAGCCTTTTGCTTCCTTGATTCACTTACCTTCTTTCCACTCTTGTTCTCTCATCCATCCCCTTCTCTCCCTCTCGTATATATTCATCACCGTATTTCCGCCCCTTCTATCTAACCCCAAACGCACCATGGCATCGCATCTCCACATATTTTTATCAATCTCCATTATTCTAGCCATCATTTCATCAGGTAATAAATCCTATAGCCATATGCCATTACTATTATGTTGATAGTATATTTTTTCAATTTCATTTTTTGCTCGCGCTTCTAATTAATGCTTGCTTCAATGGAGGACAGGGCTGCCCCTCTGCGAGTCAGCTAGAGTCTTCACCATAGTCAACAACTGCAAGGACACCATCTGGCCCGCCGTCACGCCGGGGGACAACTTCGACGGTGGAGGCTTCTCCCTAAAGCCACACCAGTCCCGCGTGTTCACTGCGCCTGTGGGGTGGTCGGGTCGGATATGGGCACGAACGGGATGCAAATTCGACTCCAGTGGAAACGGTTCATGCGTGACCGGAGCCTGTGGGTCGTCCTTGAAATGCGCTGCCTCGGGGAAGCCTCCTGCTTCGCTTGCGGAATTTACCCTCGTGGCGTCGGATTATTACGACGTCAGCCTCGTTGATGGCTTCAACGTTCCAGTGGCGGTCCTGCCCATAAATGGAAAAGGAAACTGTACTACGGTTGGGTGCGACTATGACATGAGACCAAAGTGTCCATCGGAGCTCGCCGTGAAATCCAAGGGCAAAGTAGTGGCTTGCCGGAGCGCCTGCGACGTGTTTAACACCGATGAGTATTGCTGCAGAGGGAATTATGGGAACCCCATTACGTGCAAACCTACGTATTACTCCAAGAAGTTCAAGGAAGCATGCCCTAATTCTTATAGTTATGCATACGACGATCCAACCAGTATTTTCTCCTGCACGAGTCCTGACTATGTCGTTGCCTTCTGCTCTTCCAGGTTTGTAGTGACAAGATATCTATATCGAAGCTCTATTCGTTGTACTACGATAAAAATAAACATCAACTTTTTTCTCATGGGCACTTAATCTGCAGGAAGCAACAAGTGTGCACGTACCATGACCACAAGCTCCACTGCAACGGATCGAAGGGCCTAAGCTCGTTGATTAGAAAGTGGATGATCGGGGTGCTCATGGGATTTTCTATACTTAGTTCGTGGAATCTGTTTTGAAGCTGGTTATCGCGCACACAAATATATATAGTCGGTCCTTCTGATCCAGTTCGTTAGGAGTGATTTTCGATTGAAGAACCAGCTTTTTTCTTTCTTTCTTTCTTTTGGACGAATTACGTCTATCGGAAGCTGTTTAACTTCGCTGCCGTATATTTCAACAATTTGTTAAGATTATATTCCTTTGTTTCAAGAAAAATCCGGGATGCGCAAGTGATACCGTCCCTCTCTTGTACACGTTCTCTTGCCCTCACTGCCGTCAATTATTTTCTCGTACCGGGCCGGCTTACCTACACTACAAACACAAACAAGTCAGCATGGACATGAAATTTGTCAGCCCACGTGGATGGAAAAATTCTTAAATAGGTCCGGTATACACATTATTGATCATTCATTTAATAAAAATACGACATTAAAAGGTAAGAAATTAAATAGTTATTTTATTATTAAAACAAGTTATTAAAAATAATGACACGTAATAATTTATTTAATTAAATTGGTATGATTTTATTGAAGGATCTTTGGATGACTTGATATATCAAGCTTGTCTAAAAATTTCTCATAAGTAGAAAGCCCTCAAAAGTAGAGGTGAAAATAGGGCAGATCTTTGATCTACTATAGGCTTAGCCCAACTTATTTATTAAATAAGCTTAGGTCAAGTTCAAGACTTTTAATTAGGCTTGTTTAGTTGAATAGGCTAGGCCTAATTTTTCAAAGCCTTGACTATAAGTTCAATAGGCTGGCCTATTTACACACACACATTAATTTCACCATTTGATTTTAATTAATCTATTCTTTTTTATTTTTAGTTATGTTTTTAATCAGATTAGACTTATATATTAATTTTCATGTTAATACTTTATTATTGTATTATATTGTAGTTTGTAAGTCTTTTTATTTGTTATGTATTTATATTAATAGTTCTGATGTATATTTGAAACGTTTAAAATTAAAATGTGAGCTTATTTAAACAGTTTACTTTTAAGTATGCTTTTAGACTTTTAAGTTAGGCTTTATATAGGATTAGGCCTAAACCATGAGAAAAGCCTTATACAAGTTTTAGACCTCAAACTTACCACATGGGGTCAAATTTATTTAGTTAAAGTCTAGCTCGATTTAGCCCATTTTTACCTTTTCTCAAAAGTGAAATTTTTGTAATCCATGTTTAAATATTTAAAATTAAAATATTTACCATAACAACATCAACTTAACGTTTAAAATTCTATTATCATCAACTCAATTTTTGCATTTTAAAATATATTCTTTGATTTAGTTGTTGGTTCAATTAAAAATAGAATAATAATTACTCAGAAATCTTAATTTGGGTAATGAGAGGGGGATGGGGAACGTTTGTACTTATTTGAGTCAGAAAAAAGAAATAAACACAACGTCATCAAAGGGCTCATAATTGCAATATCATGTGTCAGTCTCGAAAAACATGGAAAAGAGTCACAAAGTCAAATTATACAGGCCATGATTATTAGAAAGCATTATAAGGTTAAGATTGAGATTGGTATTGAAGAAACTCAAAAATATAATATTTGGTATGATAAATTCTTTAATTTTTGAGCTAGATAAAACCCACATAGGTGAGATTAATGAAATTTATAGGGGGAGATGGTATTGAAAATTTAAACTTGAGATTAAATTTTTTTAGACCAAAATACCCTCTATTTTTGGTACACACCCTCTTGGTCTTCCACCTTCATCTTCGATGCCTTTTTCTTCTTCTTCGATCTCACAGCCACCGGCCTCTGTATCTCTCAAACATCACAGCTTTCACCTTCTTCGATTTAGCTGTAATATCCTAAAATTTTCAAATCAATTTTTCATAAATTATTAGTTCAATAAATCATTTTTACATCATTGAACCTTTATCATGATAGAAAAATTTCTACCATGATATCTACCATGATAATAAATAACAAAACTTCTTTTCAAAACTCTACTATGGGAGAAAAGAGTTTATATATAAATAAAATATTTTACAAAAAGCCTACCATAGTAGAAATAATTTACCATAATGAATAAGCTCTACTATGATAATTAAAAATACATTGATAATAAAATTTTACCCAATGAAAAACAATGTAAACCAATTCATATCAAAGAAAATAATAATTTCCAAATCAGCATTTGGTGCAAAAGCCTGTCCTAAGGTGGCAGAATCTCAAACAATTTCTAAATACAAATTTTTGATGTTATTATGTGAACCAAGCATACATCCAAGACAATATACTACAAGTCTTATTTAACTACTAAGTTCTGACACTTTTTAAAGAATACTAATTCAACAATACCCAAAATGGATCTGCATAACATTTACCATAATCCAACACTTATCCTTCACAGAATATAATTATCAGATGTACACTTATTCATATTATGAATACTTTTTTAATCAATACTCAATACTTCTTAGTAAATTTGGTTTTGTTATTAATATTCTAAAAAGCAATTAGAACTATGAGGAACATACAGAATTCTCATGGCATGATATTCAAATCAAGTCAACAATCAAAGGGACAAACATGATCCTCCTGGTCATATAAATGCAGTTAATAAAAAGGATTAAAGTCTATATGCTCCATAAAATAAGATATGTCCTAAGTTGGCACTATATACATTGCATAATTTAAAATAAGAGGCAACGTAAAAAATGGTGTCTCATACACCAAAATTATGCCTCTCATGCTTTCTTAGCCGGATTCGCTCTTGTAAAAATATTAACCATGGAGAATGAGACTTAAAAATTCCAGTAACTAAAAATTAATATGTAATGATGCATATGGATATAATTAATCATGCGATTATTAAGTAGACACACAAAAATATTTAACTGAACAATATTTCCAAACAAGACAAATAAGTATTTAATTGCATGATTACACTTCATATCCTCCTTTCGCCATGCCTAAATACCAAATCACCTAGTCAAAGGTGAATTGGACTAAGCTACACACCACTCATTGGGTCCAATGAGGGCTTATCACGTGGTAATATTTAACCAGACAAAAATCCCTAATAATGTTATATATTAAAATACCCTGACAAGTCATGCATCATTTAAACATCCAAACAGGAATATAATCAAATAATAATATCTCATCATAATAAAAAAATATAAATTTTTAACCCACTTGAAAATAATTTCAAACAAGTATATAACAGTATTTATTTTCAATAATTCAAAATTTAATTTTTTCAAACAACAAAACAACACATAACCAATCACATACACACCCATCACAACACATTAATAATGTTTACCTTGTATCTCGAATAACAAGTTTCCCTTCACAACTCCTCTTTCACCACTCTCTTTATCAATACAATCTATATAATTATTCCATAATATTATATATTAGTTTGTCATTAAAATTGATAAATAACTCTAATTTAAAGAATTAGAAAGTATTAGAAATACCTATTCATACTTAAATAAATATTTAATAATTAGAGGTTCATTCCTATATCTCAAATTCAATATAAATTCAATCATATAGATCTAGAGTCTAACTCAAAAATTCTTAAACATGAATTTTAACCTCAGGAAAGTATTATATAATATTTATTATATCTCTAACAACTTCAACCTATATTTTTAATCTATCATATCATCAGATTAACTATCCTATAAAAAAAATTTAATCAAAATATTTGCTTTATTCTACAAAATAATCACATCATTAGAAATTTAATATTATTTAGGAAATAACTACAAAATTAATTTTGCAATTAAATAATTTTTTAAATGCTAATCTAAACAGAAAATTTGGAGCATACCTGAAAAAAAAAAATAACACCCTTGGATAGAGCAACATGAGAGGGAGAGAGAGAAATTGGAAAACATAATATAAAAATAGGAATGTGGGTCCCCCCGATTATATTAAAAAAAGACTATAGGTTTGAATTTAACTATTCAAACTCTTGAGCTATTAGTTATAATTTTCTCCAAATTGCATCGTAGCTACTTCTTTGTTTCTTGATATGTGTCCTCTTCCTTTTATACATAAGGAGACCTTTTCTCTTCCCACATCTAACTGATGTGGGACCTAAAAAAAAAGCTTTCCACCTCTCTTTTTTTTATTACTTACACACACACACAAAAAATTATTTATATATTCTAAATCTTAAAATTATATCTTAACTAAATATTTTTTATGTAATTTTAAACCTAAATTTTTAATTTATAATTAAATTCCTAACTATATTATTATTTTTGAATAACCTCAAATAATATAAATTTCTATTATTATCATTTTTTTATCCTCAATAAAACCTAAATTTTATAATTTTTTTATTATCTAAAAATCAGGATGTTACACTAGCAGTCACTGGCCTTTGGGTCTACAACCGCTACAGCATTCTCCTTCTTCGATCTCACAGCCACTAGCCATAAGTCTTGTAAATGCCGCTTATAACATCCTAAAAAAAAATTTCTCATGATTTATTAATCTAATAAAGGGTAATTGTGTAGATTTAAGTATAATTAGATTTAATGATAGTTAAAGACGGCTATTAGCCTTTTGATTAGGTTTGAAAGTGAATTGGGTCACTCGAGCTCAAATTGTAGGGAGAAATTAGATTTATAGCCCATTATGTGTTATGTTGCAACATAAAAATGCCGTAGCATAATTTCTTAAACTAGTTTTTTTTTAAAACGCAAAATCAATTCAAAAAAATGGAGAGTAAGACCAAAAACAGTAAGGGGTTGAATAAGTGACTATTTTGTCTGTTAAGGCATTAACATTTGGATGTTTTAAAAGTGTTTAAATCTTGATTTTGCCTATATATGCCTTCTTTATCTCTTATTCTTTCCTCTACACATTTTGAAAGTGAGATTTAAGGTTGGGAGATGATGATTTTCAAATTTAAAAATATAGGTTCCAACCCATTAGTCTAAATGGACTAATGAGAATTGTTTAAGCATTTAACACATAGTTTAGAAGTCTTTACAAGCTTATAAGCTTAGGTCATCTATTTGGACAAACTTTAGACCTTGAAAGTGTGATTTTAGATTATTGGGTGTTATATTAGTAATTATTTAAGTTAATGGGAGCTAGATGGAGTTAATGAGAGTTAATAAACGTAATGGTTATGCTTGAGTACAAGAGATTGAAATTTTGAGTCATTAAAGTATTGATTTATGAAAGTTGGAAGAGTATTTATAATGATATTAATGATGATTGATATGATTAATTATAAATTAATCATTTTATGTACCATTCAAGGTTTGGTACATTTGATAGTAAAGAACTTTTTTTAAAGGGTAAATCTTTGATCTTTCAAAGTTTGAGGTAACTAAGAGAAGCGTAGCTTGTATAGTTAGATATTAATTATTTATTGATTGAAATTATTGTTTTGAAAACATGATTGATATTTTGAACTCTTTGATGTAAATTTGGCATTTTTAAAAGTTGTGTTGAATGATTGTAAATAATATGCATGTTCTACATATGTGAAATCATTTTGAAAAAATGAAGAACCCTATGCATGATGTACATATAAGATTAATGATTATGTTTGATGGCATGTCATTGTAAAAATTGATAAAATGTTGTAATTGATATGTGGAATGTGATGAGTATGCGAGCGAGAATTTGTGAATTCATACGAGATAAATTGTTAACTAAATTGCATAATATGTGTAAGTTATGTATAGCATGATTATTAGCGGGAGTTCATATAAAAAGAGTAGTAGATTGGTAGACGCATGTGGTATTAGCAGCTTACCGTTGGAAGCAAAAGCTTGCCTTGGCACCAATCGTTAAAACTAGGAAGTAGCCTTTATCGCATAGTTGATTTGAACTTATCCTACTTGTTCTGTAAGGGACTCAAACTTAACTAATCTCTACCAGTTCATGAGGAGGCTAGCTTAGAGGTATGACATTCCATGATTGTTAGTATTAGAGGAAACCATGATACACAAGTAAGTGAGTTAACCTTGATTCAGCAGCTGCTCGTAAGTGAAAGGCCGGGTTAGTTTATATTATGGACGTAGCTACTTAATAGCCACCAGTTTCATGTCGGTGGTAATAAGCAGGTATAAAGTTGACATTAATCATGCATTTAGATTTGACCACATGGTTATTATTATTTTGATTCGACATGCGTTAAGGGCACATGGTTATTAGTTTTACGACCCCATAGCATGCATAGTTGGTAAGTACATGATGATATGTGTATAATGCCCAATTACATAACTGTTATTATTGTGACTGTGGCTATGTTTGTTATATATGTGAAAAATATATGTGTGCTATTGCTAATTGCATTTGTTTTTAATTGATATATAACTTTGTAAATTAGGTGAAACTTGGTTATTGAATGATTGTACTCACCCATCATTCTTCCAAATTTTTAAGGCATAGATCATAGGATCCAGATCAGGAAAAGCATGTTAAGGCTTAGCATTGTAAAGTAAATCCTACTTGTATGCCTCATTATGTTGTTTATATGTATTAATGTTGTTAATTTACCAACTAGGAATCATATGATTGTTTTGAACTACTTGCATTATTATTGTGTAAAACTTGTGTATTTCGTGCCCTAAGTTAGTGAATGATGGTTGTGAAACCTTATATAGAGCTAAAATACTTATAAAAGTAGCATAAAGTGTATTTTGAGTTTTTATTGATGAATATGGATGATTTGTGCAAGAATGTCCTCCCCCTCGTGTTTAATGAAATTAGGGGTTGAGCTTTAAAAATGTATTATGCATGTCATTAGAGTGTTGTGATGTGTTGCACAAATCTTATTAAGTTTATTGAGCATGGTCTAGAGGTAGTTGTGAGCTTATAGCACTTAGTTGTGATTTTGAACACCTTAGATATTTTTTGAAAGTATAAATGAGTAAGTTTGTATTTTAGTGTCTAACTTTTGATTGAGAAATGATTTGAATGTAAAACCCGTGCCATTAGTTAGAGCTTGGAGAAAACTTTTTGGAGACACCTTGATCATCTTAATTAGACGTCGAACGAACATTTGGGGTATGTTGAAAGTTCAATCAAAAAATTTGCCATGACATCATTGGCTTTTGCATTTTATGCCGTAACATAAAATTTTAGCATATTATGGTAGAATTACTACTTTTGCTCTTTTGACCCCAATTTGATGTTATCTTACCTCGTATAATGTCCATGCTTTTGTATACATGTTTTCCTTTGATTTTTGTTTATGAAATGATTTTTTTATTATGTTAAGCTTTAAAAACTTAGGATTCCATTTATATAAATTTTGTAAACTTGGTGATTCAATAGGCTTAGTCCTATGATTACTTTAATCTTGGAGTTAATGACGAATTAGTAAGGGTGACCTTACATTGCCACAACCTTTTCCTTCTCCAATCTCACAGCCATTAACTTTTGGGTCTCACAATTGCCATAGCCTTCTCCTTCTCTGATCTCATAGCCACTGATCTCTGGATCTCACAAAAGTCGTCACCTTCTCCCTCTCCGATCTTGCAATCATTATCATTTAGATCTCGCAAACACCGCCGAATGGATCTTGCAACCACTTTCGTCTCCTTCTCTCACGTGTTTGAACTCGATCTCCCTCTCTCAAAAGATGCAAAATGGCTTGTGGCAGAGTATGGTCAGAGAAGATAAACTCTGTGTTGACATGGTTGCTTTTTTAAGAGAAAGTGTTACAATTTCTTTTTATTTAAATCAGTAGTATAGCCTTTTCATAATTTATGTTTAATTGTAAAATAAAAGAAAAATAATTATTCTCTGCAAGTATTACCTCATCCCAAATTTAATTTTAAAGTCTCATTCTCAATACCAATACCAATCCTGTTACTAATCCTAATCCTAATACCAATCCCTCTAAATTAAGTCTTGCATATCAAATAGGGCCATATTTCTCTTTGCAATAATTCACATCTTGATTCTAGAGAGCAAATAGGAGTCCTTAGAAGTAGAAAGAATCTTTTTATTTCTTGCTAAAGAAAGTAGAAAGAATCTTATATATTATGTATATACAGTAAAGTATAAAAATTTGAAAAAATTACATTAAAGTCTCACAAAAAGAAATTTATTATCAAAGGATCCCATAAATTTCATAAAATATTCCAAAGTTCCAGATCTTGTATTGACAACTTGACCAAGGGCATTGACAACCATGTAACGACCATTTACAACCTTAAAAGAAAAATGACAACTTGTAATAACAAGTTGTAAATGGCCTTGATCAAATTGTCAGTGTGCAAGATCTGAGATTTGAGAATATTTTGTGAAATTTATGGGATTGATAAATTTCTTTCTATGAGATTTGAATGTAATTTTCCCTAAAAAATTTAATTGTTCATGAAACAGTTAATTTAACAGTAGGCTCATCAATTGTTTTTTAAATTCAATTGTTTCCTTACATTTGTGTTGTTGTCTTATGTTTTTTTCATTTTGTTGAAAAAAAATTAAAGCATGCTTGACCACATTTTAAAATGTTTTTATCTAGTATTTTTATAATATCATATTAAAATATTTTATATTTATGTAATTCTCAATTTATTTTTAATTTTTTTTACAAGTTATAAGTTTATAAGAAAAATAAGGTGTTTATATTTTTAAGCATGTGTAAAAATAAAATAATAACAAGTTATTATTAAAATAATAGTTTTTTTTAATGCAATGCCTTTTTCAAAAACTCTTTTCTACTTATTTGTGACCATAGTCTCTGGCTTAAAAATTCTTAAGGCAAGTGAAATTTAAAGCCTTTGTTAAAGTAAAAGCATGTCCGTATTTTAACAAGGAGGAGAAACTAGATTTATATGCTTTATTTGTCTCAAGTCTACGTTGTATAAAGTATGCAAACATAATGAATAAGTGTTTGATCTCATTTTCAGTTCTATATTTTATAAGCTTCATTGGTTTGTTGTGAATTAGTTTCATATAAAGCACTGTACTTTATGTAGTTATTAGTTGTGCATTAGGTTACCAGTCCATTTTTTTGTAAATCTTGCCATCTTTTTTATTAAGCATGTATCATTAAAGTTTGGAGGTTAATTTGACTTGGATAGATTCAAGACTAATTATTGTATCACAAATTCATGGTAATCTACTCAAACATCTTGTTTAGTCATTGTTTGGAGTATCAATTCAATGGTATGCCTATCAATTATGTTTTTTTGGAAATTTTTAATTGTAACTTTGCCTTGTCTTTTAGGAGAAGCAGTGACGTTCATGTTAGATAAAACTTAAACCAATCCAACTAAAATATGTAGCCAAAGGTTAATATTTGTTTTGTTAATTTGTTACAAATGTTTTTTTTTCCTAGCTATTGACATTATTAAGATCATGCAATGTAATGAGATGATAGATGGATACTCTTCTTTCTTTTTTTGTTGGTATTCTATATTAAAAACAATTTTATTCAAAGTACAGCTTGACACTAATTATAAACATATTTCCTATAAAAATTAAGTATTAGTTTATCATATTACAAGAAATTAACTCTTTCCGTTTGAAAAAAGAATATATTGTTAAAGAATTTGATGTAGAATATCGTGTAATTAATTTTAATGACATGAAAGAGGAAATAGTTAAACTTTATTTACTAAACAAAAAAAAAGGCTTACATTTGATACATTGTCATGTAATTTTATAAATTATTAGCTAAATACTTAAATGTTATGTTATTTTTCTTTTTAATTAAGCAGTTGACCTTTTGGAATTGAAGTCAATTTTGCCCTAATACATTCTGGTACGCAAAAACTTCTTATAATGCCCAAAGACAAACAAAAGAAAAAAAAAGAAAAAAAAAGATGAATTTTTCATTAATTCTGTGCATCGCACATGGTATTTTCTAGTTAATTATACTATAATGAGATTCTTAAAATCATTTCCATTTGTAGATACCATTCAACACTCAAATTGTAATTGCTACTAGTATAAATAAATTTTTACTTCTGTTCATCGAAAAAAAAAAAATTAATTGAGTTCTTCAGGTGTCCAATGAGATGAGGGTAAAGACGAGCAAAGATAATCAACCCCGCAACGGCAGCCACAATGTCGCTGCGCATGTCGTTTTAACGCCGGTAAGAAGAGACACAAGGATGGCCAGCAACACGACAATGGCGTTATAAATACGCAAACTCGATGGTCGCTGGAGTGCTTGCCGTGATCACAACAGCACCGGGCGCGAAGAGGGCACTAAGCGGAACTGAAAAATGGCGGGCGGTGGAAAGGTCTCCTTCAAAGTCACCCTCACCTCCGATCCTAAGTTACCCTTCAAAGTGTACGCAATTTCCCATATCCTCCAAATTCCAATTCATTTTTCGTCGGTTCTTAATCTCTCAATATCTTGGTCATATCAATTTCAGATTCAGCGTTCCAGAGGCTGCACCTTTCACTGCCGTCCTCAAATTCGCAGCTGAAGAATTCAAGGTGCCTCCACAGACCAGTGCAATTATCACCAACGGTAGTTAGCTCTATAACCTCTCTCTCAGATTGTTATCTTCTCCATTGTTGTGTGTTTCCTAACTTTTGCCTCTCATCTTTCTTGTTTGTTATATTGGTAGTTTAAGCTTGTGTTCAATTTTTTTTGGACAATGTAATCAATGATCGGATCGTCAGATTAGGGTTGCTGATTTGTGAAGTTTTTGGGTTATTCAAAGTGCATTTCAATTCACGCGGACTTTTTCCAATTCGGAATTGTATTCGTCCTGATAACTCTTTACTATTGCCCTGCGAGAGAAAAGCGCTTGATCCTAAGACTAGACTAAATCTATCTAACAACCACCGAGCTTTTAAAAAGGAAAAACAGAAAAAAGTTAAAAGATGAAGTGAGGAAGCGGGGATCATATTATTCCTGAACCCTAAAATTATTTTCCTTCCGAGACATAATACAAGAGCTTCTCAGCAATGAACTTATATTGCGTATGATGGATGTTGTTGCGTGTTGGCACACTTTCCTCTCAGCTTACAAGATCCCTTTCATGGTATAATACTGATATGTGCGGCCAGCCTGCTGTGGAGTCCATTGAAAATACTTGCACCCTTTTAAACTATGCTGCTAGATTAAACTACAAAAAGAAATTTAATTTCAAAAATTATCAATATCCTCGTATAAATTGAGATGCAAACTTTAATTTTTTTTTTCCCTTAACCTTATTCCTTATCATTACACGCCAAGATTGACTGTTCATTGTTTGGTTTATACATCACGATGTGGGGAAAACCTGAAACCCCAAATCCTTTTCTTCCTTGGCATGAAAAAACCTCTAGCAGAAGATGCACGGGACTTCAAGGATATCATTAACCCATTGGATTGTGAAATGTTGCTAGGTGCCGTGTAACCTGGGTAATGTTGTAACTTTTGATGCCATGTTACAGTAATTAACATTGTATGTGATGTGTCCTTTCTCTTTTGACATAAGACTGATTCCAAGAGGTTTGCTCTCTGCGTTGTGAAAAACAATGCTCTGACCAAGATTATGTTTTATCCAGTATTAGTGTTCAGATGATTCTTAGCAGCAACATAGTCATTGCCCAGTTACATCTTTTGTAAAAGTGGGTCCCTCACCATTCCAATCTGCAAGACTGAAAATGAATAGATATTAAGATTTCGTCGGGACAAGCTGACAAATTTAAATATTTGTTACTTATAAATTTTGGATGTTTACTTTTTAGTTGGTGGGCTCATCATTTTTTTTTTTTTAACGCACGCCACAAGCCAATCATTCACTGTTTCTCTGATTTGTTCAGTGCCAGTGTGTATGGATCCTCTTGTGTTGCGGTAGGTAAATTGACAGTCATTTGGAGTAAAATGTTACTCTCCTGTTAATTTGGATGGTCTGCATCTGTTAGAAACACTTTTTTACTTTTAATGAAAAAATAAATCTATATCATCTGATTAGATTGTCATGCTTGACTCAATAAATAATTTTCCTGCCAAAAATGAGGGAATCCAAATCCATTTCCTTGTTGGCTGTCAGCCTTTGGCCAAAATTATATCCTGTCTCTGCACGTGAATCGATTTGTGTGACTAAAAGACTTGTGATTTATTCTTTCATCTTTCTTATTAGCACCTTCATGTCAGATGTGCTCCAAATGATATTTATTACTTCTTATGCATGCAGATGGTGTTGGGATAAATCCCCAGCAGAGTGCAGGTATGTCAAATTGTCAATTCTTTTTTTAATTGAAGCTGGACGGTATGAATTATGTATCCCCTCTCACTTTTACTGCCTGAGGTTGGCCTCAGACGGTTGTCATTGCTTAATTTTAGTTGGTTCAATGGGATTTTTTTCAAATACGAAAAGAAACTACCTGTGGGCAGTTACACCCCCAGCCATCAAACAGGTTTTGGTACAATCCTTGGTTAAAATATTCCCGAGCTCGTGAGGCACTTGCCTGATAGCATGGAAGCCAGGCATAACTGAGAATCCCCATTTCGCCAAGTAACCTGCAGCTTGATTTATCTCTCTAAAGACATGTCGAACCTTCACCATCCAATCCCTTTCCAATATCCTTTTCAATTCCAAGATAATTCTGTGATCTTGATGCTCCAGATTAACATGCACCTTTATGAGTTCTAAAACTTCAGTAGAATCAGACTCTAGGATGATCAAGCCAAGATCCCACGCCATCCTAAGCCCATGTACAGATGCCCATAACTCTGCAGTAAGATGATCTCCGTCTTACTCAAAAACTGAGACGAAAGAGTCCTCAAGCAACCCGTCACATGCAGCGGTATTAGATGTCATCGAAAAAGCTCCATCCACGTTTAATTTCATCCAACCCGTTGTGGGTGGTTCCCATCAGTTCAATGGGATTTAGTTTCATTACTTGTCACATACTTCCTCCAGTCCCATTTACAAGGCATATTCTAGAAAATCAATTTGGGCCCATTGATAAGTCACGGTGTGGCTTTTTAGGTAATATTTCGGACATATTTGGATATCCTTTTAGAATAAATTTTAGGTTCAAAACCATGATTTTAAAAAATTTTATCCAAACACTCCAATTTTCCCATACTCCATTTGGTTTTCAAGACTCCATTTGAAATAAGTTAAAATTTGTTCTATTTTGAAAAATCAATATCATAATCAATTTTTGAAAATTTATCCAAATACCATCACATTCTAATAATCAATTTTTTTCTTAATTTTTTTCAATTAAAATTCAAACACACCCTTTAAAGATATCCAAAATTACTCTTCATGAAAAAAAAAATCACATGACATCATTTTTTTGGATTTGTTATATGGTGGCATATTTAAAATTTTACACTTTTATTCATTGTACTTTTTTTTATATTGATATTGATGAAATTGGTAGAGATGATTTATAAAGAAGATTGGAGGAGTATTTGCCAACGCACTATAATTTAGTCATGCACAAAATAGAAGAAAAACTTTTAATGGTTGAACATTGGGAGGGACATTTTTCTAACGAGCATAATGAAAATGGTATTTGGGGCTTTGCTTACAATTGTTTTATGAGACCTCATGATTCACATGGTCGAGTTGCAATCTGTGGCTCCTAAAAGGTTTATACGATGACAGTGAATTTAATATGCACAATGGATTAATACTGCTTGGTTACAGTTGATGACATCATTGGATTGACATGCATTTCAATGACTTTCAGGCAATGTTTTCCTCAAGCATGGGTCAGAGTTACGGCTGATTCCGCGGGATAGGGTTGGAGCCTCTGAGATGTTGCTGAATGTCTGAGTGGATGCCGCACCTTTTTAGTTATACTCACCTCCACTGCCGTAGCTTCCTAGATGCTATGATTATTGCTGACGTTCTCGTAGTTAACAGAGGGTGTAATGATTTCCTGCGGTAGATAAAGTTTGGTTGAATAAATAAATAAATTCTTCGGAAAGGATAATACAAGCTTCCCTGGCATTGTAGAGCCTTCTGTCTGGGCTTTGATTATGTTCATCCGCAAGAAGGTTTCCTTATCACATTTAAAAAGAAAAAGGGTGGGAGTGCTCCCTTTATTCGATCACTTTAAACATGTGGTAGATTTTTCCCATGGGCAACTCCTTGAATTCATGATAAAGTAATATTGAAAAGGCACAACTGGGTGCATATTGCATAATCGTCTGTCGGCACCCCGAAAAAAGGTTGAGATGGTGCGAATGCTCAGGATGGATTCTTGTAAAATTCCTATTCTATCTACATTTGGGATCAATGGAATGTTTGGAGAAGATTATTCAAATGGTTCATCTAGAATCAATGATATATTAACATTTTAGTATAAATATAATATAAAGTCATTAATTTGCCACGATCAATGATCTCCCTAAGCATGGGGCAGGGCAAGGGGGCCGTACCGGGTGATGATGGACTGATGGTCAGGTAGTTAGTAGAAGTAAAGACAACGCCATTTAGGCTTTGTATCCAACAGAAAATGGCACATTTATGTTGTCATAACTCAACCGACTCTCTGCTTCTCAGTGAACTGGTCCCATAACATTTATACAGTTCCCTCCTCCCTAGCCCCTCCCAATCCTTCAACTTTTATAGTAATAAATGAGTATATAAGGCTTCCCCCGGAGCTACTTACGAGGTCAGGCATTTAATTCCATCCCCAGTTCCTAAATCTTCTGCCACTTGCGATGTCGGAAAGATATTTGACAGTATAGATCAAACGCTTGTCTAAAATAAGATTCGGTTAATACAGCGTGTCTTGTGCGTAAACGTACCCTTTGTCGTAAAATTCCCGTTCAGTATTACTACGATTACCCCTCAATAAATGAGCTTCAGCCTTCATGATTACTATACCAATTACCGTGCAAAGAATCAATCATCCTCGCTACATCCAATAAATTAACTTCCCTAAAACAAACCTGTTATGCAACCCATGGAAATTTTCAATCGAGACAAGAAAAGTGAACTTCTAGGGGATGGCCTGGTAAGGAGGAGTAAAATTTGTTGGCGCGATGAAATTAAAGGAATAACCCATTTGAGCTTTTGCGTGGTCACTTAGAATGTAAAAGAGGATGCTATCAGCTATCCAATTATGCGGTTTTACTTGATTTTCCCGCATGCCTCAGCTTCCTGCAACCTTGCAAAGGCCCCTCTAATAGGATACAGCTTAGAGCACCAGACACATGTTTTGCAATCAGATAACGACAAGACTCCGAGGCAGTTAATTAAACAAAGCATGGAAGTTGGGAGAAGACGTGATGAAGTTAAGTTATAATGGAAGAATATAAACAGTCTGCTAGTAAAATGGGGCAAGGGTGACAGGAAGAAGCAACATCGGTTATTCTTTTTATGGTTTCCCCGGACATCGATGAGCATAAAATTCCTCAACAAGCCGTGGTATTGGAGAAACACACTGCTCAAACAACAAATCTCGTGCCCTCCGTTTTTTCTCTTTTTAACCAAAAATTAAAGGATGCCTGAACAGAGATCAGATAGTTGCGAACTTGTGATCCAAGATAACAGCTGAATTCTAGAAACGCCGGCACATGCTGTATCATCGGTCTTGTTTTTATGTTCTATATCTGGAAACTCGTTCACAGGAATGAATTGCGTCTCTGTTTATTGCCCAAAAAAAAAACAGAGAGAGCAAATAATGAGCAGCAAAGTCAGTGTAGCCATGGGCAATGGGTTTGGAAGTTGAGGAGTAAAATTCTTTTTTGAATTAGAGGCACAGGTGCTCACAACATGAAGTTACAACCTAGACAGGACTGAGATCTCCTTCTTACAGGGAACTTGCATACCACTAGAATACAACGCCATACGGATTCTGGAAGCCATTCAATTCAGTACACTGTACAATGAGGTGGAGCCGCCGGTCAGTACTAGTACAACATTGCCCATCTAGCCTGGAATGTAGATGTGAGGGAGGACACGTGGAGGCGCCTGAATTTACGACTCAGCTGAACCCAAATTTAGCGGAGGACAAGCGGCCGGCAGCGTTGTGTACTGGTTTTACATAAATGCCCTCCACGACATCAAAAAATAACGATCTTGTCAACTGCTGCGAGTAAAGGCAATTCCGTAAATTTCATACACGGACAAAAAGCGGTACAGAGAGTGGGGGGGGGGGGGAGAGATCAACCGCACGTCTCGCCGGTAAGTTCAGGCGGCCTCCACCTGGGCCCGGGCGCTGCTCAAATTCTTACCTGGCTCAAGTTACCAATTTGCCCTTTCTTTATCCATAACTAACGGAAAGGCTACACTGTGTTTAATAAGGATTAAAGGAAGATGAAATTACCTTCTCTTTACGGCTTCGGTCCCTCCTCTACCTCTACGTTTCTCATTTTCAATCCCAGTGAATGCCATCTAGACTTACCTAACTAGTGATTGTTTTGCCTGCCAATTTTCATTAGGTACAAACACCTTCTTTCATGTATTCGTATTGCGACAGTCTAACATTGACAAAAGGGCAGATTCATAACTTCGTATCAAGGCACCATGTAAATGAAGGTTTACTCTGGCATTGTAAGAAGAGAAGAGAAGAGAAGACGAAAGAAAAAGTGGCGATTAAAAAGGCGGATTATCTGGGACGCCTAACCAAAAAATAAAAAGAAAAAAGAGGCAGCTAAAGTGAGAGGGTTCTATAATGCCTCTTTTTTAGTATTTTTAATTAATCAATTGATTGATTTTTTGAGACGTAACGCAACAAATCTTGACAACGGTAAATTCTGTGGCGAGAACAGCGAAACCGAGGCAATTCACTTTGCTGACCGCTTCTGCCAGAGCTGTGACCCCGTTCCTCCTACGAACAAACCCCGTTCCGTTACCGACTATGCTCTCCCACCCCTCCCTTCATCCAGCGTTCTTCGCTAGAATGAATGAACACTTGGAAAACGAAATGTTTATCCTTCTAGTTTTCATTCGAATAGCTCCATTATTTAAATAATTAAATAAAATAATCATTTAAAAACTTACTCCATTCATTAAAAAATATAAGATATTTTTTAAAGAATTAAATGCCAAAAACATAAGATATTTTTAATCATGATCAAATTATTTTTTTTAATAATATTTTTATTAATAATGATATTATATTTATTGTAGGGTGTTTTAATATAAAAAAATAAAATTAATTAAAAATAAATAATTATTTTATTGAGAATAAAATTTAATTAAAATATTTTTAAACATAAAGGTTATTTAATTTTCTGCCGAGATCTAAAATTTAGTTATTCTTTGCTCGTTTGTCGGGTTTAATTTTATTCTTTGCTTGAGCCATTTTAGAATGCGTATGAGCTTTTGTGAGGAATGTCAGTCTCTTCTTGTCCACCTATCTATCCTTATTTTCTCTTCATATGCAAGCCCTGTTCCTTTCCATTCCCCTCCCCCCCAAATGCAGAATAATTAAAAAAATTATTTTAAAATATAAACTATTTTAAATTTTATTTAAAAATATCTTATAATTTAAAGTGAAAGAATCTCATATGATATTAAATATGCACAAATGACAGATCAAATGGTTTAACGACAACTTATTTTAGTTGAACTTAATCCAAAGCCTTTTCGTGTTTTTTTTTCTTCACTAGTTTAGTCCTTTATTTGAATGTGGAGAAAAATAAAGGTAAAAAAAGTTAGGAGAATTTTTTTAAAAGATAAAAAAAATTACTATTTTTAAATTTTTTTCTTTAAATTTTCTTTTTTTTCTTGTTTTCTTCCTACTTTCCTTCCATCCAAACTGATCTCATTCCTAACTTATGCAAAATAAGGTAACCAATTAAATTAATGCCCAATATAACTATTTTAACTAGGTAGGGTGGATAGTGGGTACATATATTTTAGAGAAATTAATTCACTGGTCACTCAAACTTTCTTCTTCATCTTTTCAAAGTCTTCTTTTATATTTTTATCTTCTATTTATATGTTTGTTAGGGGTAATTGTGGAGACGAGGTTCACTTTTAATTCTTGTGCGTCAACTTTGCAATGCCTATTTCTCTACGAGACTCTGGGCTTAATTTATTATTTTAAGAACTGTTATTTTCTAAAATATATTTTGATAACAAAAAATAATGAAAACAGATTTTTTTTTTTGCATTTTTTTATAACAATAATTTTGAAATATTTAAAAATACTTTTATTTTTTATTGTTCAAAATAATATTTAATTTTTTTTCCAAAACACCTTTTAAGAACTAGTTACCAAATATATATTTTTTTATTTTTTGTTTTGAATAATAAAAAACTGATTTTAAAGCAAATTTTCAAACAAGCTCTTTAGCTCGTTTCTCGTTATTTACGCATACACATCTGCTGCTTTTTTGGCCAAACAGATCCACTGCTACAATCTTGCACAAAATGTATTTTATTTTTTTATGCATCTAGACAACCAACATCCAAATCCGATCATACAAAACTTCAATCATAGGGTGACCAATATCAATATGAATATCAATTTATTTGAAAACGAAATAAAAAAATATTGATAGCCTCAAGCCACAAGCTTATACTACATGGCATGACATGACAAATTAACAACACAAATCCCGTTATTTCAATCTCGGTTTTCCCAACCGTCACTTTCGTCGGCTGTGTCTCAAGTCGAAGGCAAAGCCATCCCTGCTTGCTATGCTCGAACGGGTACACACACTCGCTCCCTGAGTCGGTTCAGAGTCGCTGTCTCGTTGAGTGGGTCCTGCTTCTCTACTCACTGCAGAAAATAAAAGACCTGGCTGATAGGAATCGGAGCAAAGAAAGCACCCAGACTTCACAAAGTCACAACTACGACGTCTACGAAAATTACAGACACGTTTCTTTTTTCACTGGTCTCAATCTCAAATCGCTTGCTCGCTCTCTGGTAACTCTCTCTCCCCCTCTCAAGAACTCAACCTGTTCTCCTCCCTCCCTGTACTTCTCTACTGGATTAGAGGCTGCAGAAGCTGATCGATCATCGCTGGCTTAGTTTGCCATGAAATCTAAAGCCCATGCTCACACTGGAAATGGCTACGCTAGCGAGAGTGGGAGCAGCAGCTCTCCCAGCCCGCCAAGGTCACCGCGCCGTCAATCATCCACCAACACATCGCATTGCCGTCGACGACTGCGACCCAAAGCCCTCTCTCACACCACCCACCGTCTAGAAAGCTTCGCCGCCGGTATCATTGCTCGCCGGAATATCCGCTACTTCTTCCTGCTGCCACTTCTCTACATCTCTGGCTTGCTCATGTGGGTGGGGCCGTTCTCTGCCCTCATTGGCCACGCCCTGTTCCCGGCTCAGTCTATCGTAGTCACGAGATTTTTCAAAAGCTTTGGCCCGATATTGAGTCTGACAATTCGTCTGCAGTGGAGGTTCGTTTCCCGGGTTTCTTTTATTTTGCACTGCGTTCTCTATCGTGTTCACGTTATTTTGTCATCCGTATTCTGGAAGGGAATGGAAGGATACCCTCAAGTAAGCATCAATTTACAAATCCTCCCCACCTGATGTTCAGAAAATGACATATGTATTGATGATGAGAAAATTCACATGATGTTTGCATAGCCGCAGCATGAGTCAAGTGCTAAAATTGCTATTCTTCTGATAAAAATCAAACTAAAAGATGAAGGGCAACGTAAAGTTCTGTTGAAATCTTTTCTTCTCCCACCATTCCGTAGCTCCTAATGTTTGCTGGCAAAATTTAAGAAAAATGCGGCTCTTTAACTATTTCACGAGGGAAGATCCTTGTGATAAAAATGGTGGCCTCTTCCTGTTCATCATTATTTGCCATTATTTGTTTGGTTGCTGTCGAAGAAGTGCGTTTTAGAGTCTACTTGCTGAATCTCACATTTAATCGAATTGGCCTTACCATTACTTTTTTTTAAAACCATTTTGACTGTCAAGTGTTGACTACTTCGTAGATGTATGAAATATGAAATTTGTTATCTTTATTCAGATGCACTGATTTGTTTCTGGCCATTTCAACAGTTATCTTCAGTATGGAAGTACAAAAGAAAGTTGAGGGAGCCCAAACCTTGTCCAAATGTCACCTCAATGCAACATGAACATTTTGGTACGCGCTTAGATTTGATTGGGATTGATTTACCCTTTTCATTCCATAGTTTTTCCTAATCTTTCTGTGAAGTGTAACTTATGTTATTTGGGCCGTTTATCACCATGTTCCAACTTGTATTCTTCGACAACCTCTTTGTCGGAAAGTGGGATTTACACTGGACGAAGCTTAGTGTATGACGTTAAATCAGTGCTTCTTTTCAATTTCAGCGTCTTCAGGCCATAATGGTTTCCTAATTGTGGAGGCTAATGGAGGCCTTAACCAGCAACGTTCTGCAGTATGATAGTTTTTTTTCCCTCTTGCTTTAAGCTGTTTTATTTTCATTTAAGACATAAGCTCATAACATTATCCATATTTTTGTTATATTGTCTATCATATGTATCATCCGCAGATTTGCAATGCTGTGGCCGTGGCTGGACTCTTGAATGCTATACTGGTTATACCTCACTTCGAATTCCACAATGTCTGGAGAGATCCAAGGTGATTGATCTTCTTATCGTCTCAGAACTATAAAAGCTAGGCCTTTAAAGTGCTTCTCGAGGACTTTTTGATGCATAAACCGTGTCTTGTGAATTGTTAGGCTAATTTCATGGCTTTTAACTCTCTAATATGTGGCTGAGAGGGAAAAGATTATTCTATATTAGTTAGTAGAATGTTTCCATTAACTGAGGGTCTGAGTTGTCTGACAATTTAATTGCATAGTTCTGAGAAAATTTCTGTTTCCTGTGCTAGTAGTTCCCTGCCATGTTAACATTAGTATATCTCTTTCTAAATAAATGAGTTGGAATAGAGAAATATGTTTATATACACCTTGATCTCATTAACAATGCTATTGCTTTGCATGCTAAAAATTATCAGCTAAACTACACATGCTATAAGGCCTAGGTGAGGAGCAAATTTCTCACAATCTGATTTGTTGATCCAAATTTGTTAGAACTTTTAAAATTTGGCATGTGACAAGTCAAGTTTTAAATTTGGTAAATGTTTTAACCAACTAGCGGTGGTAATGAGACCAAACTAGACCTTACTGGATTTGTGATGCCTTTATGAACGGATTTTTAATATTTAAATGCAACATAGTGAGCATAGTAATGCTTCTTGGGCCCATTTTGTCCTTGATTATTTCTGGAGCCACATCCAATTCTCAAATTAATATTACTTGCCTGTCAGTGAATTTGGGGATATCTACGATGAAGATCATTTTATATCTACTCTTGAGGGTTATGTGAAGGTGGTTAAAGAACTTCCTGAGGTACTCATGGAGAGGTATAATTATAACATCAGCAATATCACTACTATCCGGGTCCAAGCTTGGGCTCCTGTCAGTTATTACTTGGGAGTTGTTTATCCAATCATGCAAAAGGAAGGGTATGTATTGGACAGCTTTCTCACCTGTTATTATTTAACTTTCTATAATCTTTGGGATGAAAATGTTAAATATATAATTTTATGAATAAATTTCTTTTAGCATCCAAATTAGTCACTTAACACTGGTTTTAAACTAACAATTTGATAAGACTAAGGTTTTTCTTTTGTTTGGGGCTTGGTAAACCCTATGCAGAGTCATTCGAATATCGCCATTTGCCAACCGATTAGCAATGAGTGTCCCTCCTCACATTCAATTTTTGAGATGTCTTACTAATTATAAAGCTCTGAAGTTTGCTTCTTCAATATCAATACTAGCCACGAAACTGGTTAACCGAATGATTGAGAAGAGTTCAAGAACAGATGGGAAGTATGCTGCTGTGCATCTACGCTTTGAGGAGGTATTGATGCCCATTCTTTCCTGTAGTGAGCAAGTTATTGGCATCAGTACATTATGGTCAGGGGCTTTACTTTAACCAGTTTCACGTTATTATTGAATGTTAATTATTTCTGAACATGCAGGACATGGTGGCATTCTCCTGTTGTATATATGATGGAGGGGAGGTAGAAAGGTTGGAAATGGATTCAGTTCGAGAGAAAGGATGGAAGGGGAAATTCAAGCGAAAAGATCGTATTATTCTACCTAACCTCAATAGAATCAAAGGAAAATGCCCACTTACCCCTTTGGAGGTATTTATTTATTTGAATTAGTGCTTCTCGAATTTTTCTAAATTTTTAAAACAACTTTCTTAATAGTTCTCAATAAACAGGGATTTCCATATTATGTTCTTGGTAGCTCTCTTTCCTGATTCTAATGGTTCTTCAGTATTTGTATCTTTATTAATAGTAATTAAAAAGTGGCACAACAGAGAACCAAACAAATCTATGCAAGTTAACTCCCCCCCTCCCCAAAAAAAAAAAAAAAAAAACCATAACCCTGCAAGTTTGTAAGAAAGCTCTTGTTACACAGAAGACTCATGTTTTAATGTATATGCCTTCGCTTTGTAGGTTGGGATGATGTTGCGTGGCATTGGGTTTGATAACAATACATCAATATATTTGGCTTCTGGGAAAATATACCAGGCAGAGAGACATTTGGCTCCTTTAATAAAGATGTTTCCCAATCTTCATACGAAGGAATCTCTTGCAACTCCAAATGAGCTTGCTCCCTTTAAGGTAAATCTTCTTATTTGGATAGCAGATATGGAGGAAGGGATGAAAGGAATCATTCCCTATATTTGGCAGTTTAATTCAGGTTGGGTGGACAGGGAGTATAGAGAGGATGGGTGTTCCTCTTACCTGTCCAAAAAAGAGAAGTATGTTTATAATGCATCACACTTTTATCGCCTGACTCCAATCTACCTCCTGTTTTATTGAAAAAGTTTGTTTATAATGCACAAGGCTATAATGAAGTCGAATGTTATAGTTTTTGCCATTCTTTCCCTTCCTCGGTTAATCATTCCAACAAAGTTATAATGATCAGGGACATCTTTTTTCAACCTTTTCTTTTTTAAAAAAAATGGTCTCTCTTCAATCTCTTGCAGTTTTGATGTCTCGTGAGCTTATACTGCAAGTTTTGGGAGGTTCAAGAATATGAAAAACTTCAAATAATTCATCATTCAGAAGATTAATTTTAGTGTTGCTGCTAATAGTGTGTTACCTTCTTCTACAAGAGTGTGTGCTGAATTTGTTATTGGGAGTTTTAAAGTGCTGATACTCAACTTCATCCTCCTTTAGGAATATTCCTCTCAATTAGCAGCACTAGACTACACAGTATGCTTGTATAGTGAGGTTTTTGTAACAACTCAGGGTGGTAACTTCCCTCATTTTCTGATGGGTCATCGAAGATTTCTCTATGATGGACATGCAAAGACCATTAACCCTGATAAGCGCAAGCTTGTTGGTCTCCTGGGGAATGCTAGTATTAGGTATATTTTCTCAATCCACCCTCAACTCTTTCTTTCTCTCTCATCGTTTACAGACCTTCTATGCTCCAGTAAAGCATTTCAAACTGCTGATAGGAATATTTAATTTGTTTTCTTGTATTTCATTCTGTTCTTGTTTGATACTTGTAAAAAATTAGATCATGCTAAGAGTTACTTTACAAAATTCTAATAGGTTGGAATGGTCATACTGATTGTTTCCCATAGACTTGAAAGGGAACCTTTTAATGAGTATTGTATGAGTGAAGAAGCAGATACAAAAGTGCTATATATCTGATAAAATCTTGATCTGTGGTGTAACTTGGAGAGTTTAAGGGTAGCATTTGAGCTGGTGCGGCCATGTTGTCAACCTTAGTGATTCAGCAAGGGAAGGGAAACTGGGAAAATGGAAAACACATGCACACACACTAACAAAAAACCATGGCCTTCGCATCAGAATGAATTTCTTTGGAGAGCACTGTTAATAAGGTCTTAATCTTTGCACTGATTAATGGAGAATATTTTTAAAAAACATATAAATCTGAAAATGTGTATATTTTGAAAATAAAGATGAGATCTGTGCAATGTTGGCAAAATTTTAGAGAAATAAGTAATTTTCTCATAAATATTTCACCAGGTTTTCCAACTTAAGGTTGACTCAACTTTCTCAACGTGGTTTTTGTTTTATCGCTATTGTAGTTTATCTTTTTTAAAGCTGCCCTCTAACACTTTGCTTTGTACCTAATATATAAAAATAAGATATATTCAAAAATTTGATTACTGAAATTTAGGCTTGGGGTTAGGGTTTGAAAAATTTGAAGGCGCTGGATGATAGAAAATATTTGGGTATCGGTTTTGCAGTTGGAGAACTTTCAAGGAGAAGATGGAGTCTATGCTTGGTGACAATGACCGGAAAGGAATCCTTGTACCAAGAGTTAGAAAAATTAACAGGAAAACTTCAGTCTACACATATCCGTTGCCAGAATGCAGATGTCTACAGCAGTTGCATGCCAGTCAAATTGACCACAATTTAGACAGTCATGATAATTACATCCGCAGAAAAACTTAAATGAATAATGCCATTCTTCTGATGTCATGTCTTCCACGCCCCTGAAATCATCAGATTTGCATCAGTTCAACACCCTTGGTATTTCACCCTTCTGTGGCTAATGATGCTACATGCTCTTCTGATTTTGAGGGTAAAAATGAGTTGTTACTGCCCAATGCCAAGATGTGGGCACTGCAGTTCAGAGGATGAGAAATTCCGTTTGTGTGTTTTTCTGGCACTGAAGGAAGATTTTCTGTGCATATTACATGTTTTTCATAGGCTGATAGTTTTTTGGCTTTGCCATGGGAAGGTAGAAGTGGTGACACTGCTCAACTTCGCTTGTGTTCCACGGAGAAGTACATAAGAACTCAGGTACAGAGTTGTATTTTGACTTCTCTCTCTAATCCATGTTTTTAGAGCTGATACGGACCTTCTAAATATGTCATTTATTTTGTAAAATTATTAGGCTAGGAGAGGGAATTGAAAAAGTGAATTGATCAAATTTTGCATTTTTTGGATTCTTTCTACCAGTTTCAGCTTAGGGAGGCATTCTCTAGGTGCTGTGGACGTGTGCTTGTGTCTTGTGCCCTCCTCCATCTTTTAAGATTCAATTTCACTTCTTCAGGCTCTTTTTTAACCTTATCTCAACTTTCTGTACTCGAAGATTCCTCAGATGATGATCTTTGAAAAGTAGGTAGTGAAAATTATCCGAAAGGAGTTGAGATATTTCCTTATCATGTCTTGAAACTTCTCCTTCTGTTCATAATTGCAGATAAACTATAGCAGGGTTTTCCTGCCTTCTAAGTGTTAGACCATCTTCTAAACGATGTTATTTCGTTGCCCCTCTAATTGGCTCGTTGTGTAGTCAAGCTTACTCTTCTCCTTGACCCATCTCACTAATCCAATTTCACGCTTTAGTATTTATGCATTAAAAGTTCTTTTGATTTGGGCAATATGGGGCCGATTCTTGTGATGACAAATGCAAAACTACAACAATCCCCTATATGTGTTGATAGCCGAATATTAGACACCAATATTTTTTTGGGTAAATTATCTCCTGCACTTGCAGCATCGGAGAATCCACCGTATGAATGTGGCCTGGGAGACAGCTAGGCAGCCCTGGGGTCGGGGACTTGTGATTTTCTTGTCACAGGGGGAAAGAAGGACAATACTAACCTAGGAAATCTCTCGTTTTGTTTCCTGCTTCTCCCACCGTTATACGCCTCATATGGTCGGCGAATTGCGACGGCGCCATGTACCCAAATTATCGCAAACCAAATTTAATATGAGCAACGAGGCTGAAGCAAAGGGGGGCCGCTGGTCCTATCAACTAAGCCCTATCATTCCATGATTCCGTCTGAGCAGCACCGTGTGCAACTGTACACAAGGAACATGGGTAGGTCCCACTAGAGAGCGTATCAAATGCTAGTGAACCCCACCCCCTCACTCCTCATCATTATCACGTAAGCTGGCTACCCCGTGGCCCACTCTCCGCACCTGTAAGGTCAATCTCTATTCTTTAATCTTCGCTAAGCTTTAGCCCTCGATATCACCCAAAAAACTAAAAATAAAAAATAATAACAGCAACTTTTATGTTTCTAGAGACAAGTTCGGCCGTGCCCTTCAGACAAGTCTTCATCATGCATGCTGGTGCTGGGTTGATTTCTTTTAATCATTGCATCCACTTCGTGCCCCAGCCAAGTCTTCATTCTGATTTCCGTGACCTTTTCCTTTTGTTCTTTCGCAAGCATTACATGTCCCCAGTTGATTCTGATCTTCCTACTTTTTTTCAATAGCTAGAAGCACGCACAGCAAAAGTTACCCCAAAACCTCCAAGCTCGCCTTTTCTTTTGCTCCATCTTGGCCTCGTATTCATTCTTGCTACCTGGCGTCCCACTATTCTCGAACCATGGTGAGCCAGGCAATAAAAATGTTTACATAATGTATTTTCTTGTGCGGTTCTTTCGTGGGGTTTGACGTAAATTTTCTCTTGATATTGCTGGTGCTTGTTAACCCCATGCCGAGTTGCTTAACTTTTGGCAACAAACCTCGAAAAGATCCCAAATCATTACACAATGAGTACAAAACAAGAGTCAACTAAAAGCACAAATGGTTCCGGAAACCCGTGGAATGGAAAAACACAACACACAAATCTAGAAGCCAGGCGACCCCAGAACGACACAAGTGCTCCCGCCACGAAAATGGTTTCACGTTTCCGTGTCTCGATCAGGAGGCCCTTCTATTCCCTCAGAACTTAGCATTTGTCCATTTTTGTACGCCTTACCAAAAGTTGTTCTCGCCCCTGCCCCTGCCCTGCCCCTGCCAGTTATTTCTCCTGATCAAGAGGTATTGGAAGAAGCTGTTACAATGAATGGCGTGAAAATTCACATGAAAAGGGAACTAAGTTGTTCCTCGTTATCACTGATCTCATTGTATTATATTGGAGGTTGAAACAGATCAATGACTTGAGCAATACACCACTTCATTTATTACGTGACAGTTATAACATTTTGTTTAATCGATGGTTCATATTATATTTTGTCAAATTCATAAAAGTTTAGACAATCAATTTTCAGAGAATTTGATCTCTTATTCTTAAGAGACTTCAACTATCTTCCTAAAATATTTATTAACATATTTCAATTTTGTCCCATTAAAAAATAGAACATTCAATGGGATTGATTATTAAAAATCACAATTAATTCCATAAATAAGGGCATTTTTAACCATATTTTTTATTTACATGATGCGGTTATTCATGTCTTGTAAAAAGGATCGGTGGTGGGAGTATATTGCTGATATATATTTGGGTCTGAAACAATAAAAAATTTATACAAATATACGCTATTGTTTGTTCCTACGTCTTGCTATGATGATAACTTCCACTGAACTCAATCTTCACTCCGCGGTAATTAACGGCGCAGTTCACTCACCCGTAATGAATACTCTGCTTCCTCACATTCATGAGATGTCAACCGGGTAAAAAATGAATAATAATTCACAACACCAATTGATTTTTTTTTTTGGAGTATTTTTTTTCATTGCCTGCAGTATTCTCTTATTAAAAATAATTTTATTTAAGGTACGGTTGAATATTAAATATAAGTATTTCTTTTAACAAAATTTGAACATGTTATCAGGGATTAAGCCTTTCAACCAAATCTAATCTCCATTGATTTTTTGGGAGTAGTTATCAGGGGTACTAATTCATTTTTCTAGTTTCAGCTGGAACCTTTCTGGACGTTGATTGTGTAAAGAAACTGTACGTCTTGCGAGAATATTTCTCATCTAGTTGTAACGAAATTTGAGTACTGCATGTCAAACAGTCATGTGCAGGTTAAACACAAATTTTCATCCGGCTTCAATTTAACTGAGGGCCTGAAATCTCTTCCACAAAAACCAAGTAATTATAATATTATGGATGCATCAGTATAATCTCTATCCATAACTATTATAGTAGCAAGTAAAGTAACTAAAGAAATAATTCCTTTATTATATATCGAAAGTTTCATAAAGGGATAGCTTTAACCTAAAGCAGTGGCTTAGGAAAGACAAAAAGGAAAAGGTAAATTCTAATTCTAATGCAGTAATATACACTCCTGAGTCAGGTGAGCCCATCAATCGCCAAAATTGGCACATACTAGTAGTTTAGATGAAAAGAAAAAGGAGCTAATCAAGCAAAGAAATTCATAGCAGGAAAGGTTCAGTCCTAGTCCCTGGGCTCCAAATCAAGAACACACATCAAAAACCAGAGTAGAAAACAACGAAGCAAGGCAAAATAGCTCTAGGATTCGACACATACAACTCTTCCAAATTGGAATAAGCCCCAACTTCTCCTGCAATGGAATCATACTCCTCCGTGCTAATTATTCCTCCTTCTATATTCTTCTTTACCCTTCCTGCTATCACCCTACATACCAGCATTGCCCTTTTCTCGTTATTTTTGTCATCTCCTGAAACCTCCGCTTTGTCGTGTGCTTTCCCACTTGTCGCCGTCGTCAATATCCCCTTCCCGCCGGCGACTACCTTGAAGCCGTTCTTGATTATGCCACACACGCTGCACTGTGGTATTGAGTTACAGAGGTTGGTGGAGCCTTTTAGGCCCAGTGAGCACAAAGTGGTCGTGCAATGGAACCTCAGCAGCTCGTTCCCGTCTGCTATGCAACGAGGATGCTTCTTGGGGAGCTTTATGGCTCTGGCTTTGATGGAGTCTCTGTACTCTTCGAATTTCGTAATTGTCCGCTGGGTGTTGTGGACTTTAAGGATGCGGTCTATTTTGCAGACTGGAGATTGTTTCTTTAGCCAGCTCGAGTGGAATATGATTTCCACTATGTTCTTGCTCGTATCTTCTGGACCCAGCTCAGATACTGAAATTTGTAACACAATAGAAGGATTACAAAACAAACACCTAGTTATTGTGTCATGGATTTGACAGAGCAACAGAACATATCAACTAATTCAGCTAGAGAAAATGAAAATCACAAGCCAAAGAAAAATTCTTTCTGGTAACATATCAATCAAAAGGAGTTACGGGAGCAACAGATACCAGCATGTTTGACGGCCTGATGAAGCTCTAAATTTTCAGGCTTCATGAAGATCTCGCCACAGTGAGGGCAAGGGTAAATGCTACTCCTGAGAGAAGGGTCTCGAGTGAAAGGAAGAAGAGGGTCAACCACCATTCGACACTCATAGCAACCAGAGAACCTCCTGAACGGCTTTCCCCTGAGAGACCCACTCACAGACGAGTTTGAAGATACTGACAGGGAGTTGAAAGTGGAGGTAGACACGGCAACCCCATTTAGTTCATGCAGAGGAGCTTTCAAGTATCTGTTAGAATTAGAAGCATCGTTGTTGGCAGTATTACAGACACCCAGAGACACCCTTTTGATCTTGTTGATGTCAGGGGACACTGTTTCAGGCCTTGCCACGACCTTGGTGTTATCACAGAGTGAACCTGAACACCTCATTTTCTTGCACTTCTCTCTGCTTTCTTCTGGGATGGCTTCTTCTTCTTCCTGCAGCTTCCTTTGCTCTTGTTTCTTCTTTGGTTGTTTCACTACCGCCTGCTTCTGCTGCTGCTGTTGAATTTGGACAGTTCTGCAAGGCAAGAGGCCTCTTATCACCGCCCAAGAGGCTTGTTTCTCTGTTTTCTGGGGAAGCTGGTTTTGTTTTCGACTGACATGGTTGGGGTCTCTCCTCTGGGTTCTGGGTTTGCTCATCGTAGGAAAAGATGCAAGTGGCGGCTTGCTTTTGAAACTATTTCACACCACAGCGCACTAGGATGTTTACAACATGACTGAGTGTGCTTGCACTCTTGTACTTGTAAGGGTTGGGAGTTGAAGCTCGCACGTGCCATTTTTATATACGGGATCACAAAATAATGTCATAATTTATAGTAACTTTAATTTCTAATTCTTTGTCGTCTGTTTATATATAATCTAGCAGGAACGGGTACCATACATATCTAAAGAGCCAATATTGTAATGGTACCATCAGTTAGGCTTTGAGCTGCGTGTTTTTTTCTTTTTCTTTTTTTATTTTTCCAAAATTTGTGTCTTTCCTCCACCCTGGGGATGAAATCTAGTTATTTAATAATTTTATACTTGACACATGCATGCCTTAAAAGAAATAGAGCATCTACCTTTTGCAATGGAATGGTATTGACTCGATTCTTATTTGGCTCCTCTAGTAGTGTCAACTGTCAAGGAGGGAAACTATTGGACTGCTTGGTGTCTTTTTGTACAGCACTAATGAGATTGAAATGAAAGAGGTGTAAAGTTTAAGTCTCACGTCTTTAGGACATCCAGTTTGATCTCTGATGAGCTACCTTTCAGAATATGATTTTCTAAAGAGTTCATGCATGTCAACGGGAATCTTCATATTAAACATTCTGTAAATAGCATACGGATCTTTGATATTCCCACCCATAGTAATTGAATTTGATGCTTCTTCTTGGGCGAGGGTGGTTGGATTGAATACTTATTTGAAATTCTTGTGAACTTGAAATCTGTTGTTCTTATCTTCTTTCGAAGCCAGTGAACCGCCCAATATGCTTTTAACTTGCACATCCAGCTATCCTTTGATATACAGTTGTTTCCCTTTCCGATATTGGAAACTGCTTCTGGTCCATTCGGCGACTTCCATAGGGATTTAAGTCTATTACCATATTTACAAGCCCTGAAACTATTCATTCACCCATCATCGAAGAATGAAGCTGTTTGCATATAACAACAAAAATATCTTGGCCACTTGAGTCTGACAGTCAATGACATGGACCATTTATTTGGCATGTAAAATAAATCAGTAGACAAACTAATTCTTCTTCATAGGACCATATTCTGGCCATGTCATTATAATGAGTGTATATAAGCGAGTTCCATATAACTACTCCAATATTATATGACTGACTGAATACATACCGGTGCAGTAATGATTAGTTCATTATATTTCATTTTCATAGCGTCAAAGCAAGCTCGAATTTTTGGTGGATGGGAGTTGGAATAATTAATTGGGGTTGTCGTTATTAGAAGCCCAAGGTGAGCCTTTTTTCGGGTCGAGCGCGTGGCACAGATTTTCTAGTTCCCTACTTATTACCCCATAATGCTGTGCTTTTATGGACAAAGCAAAAGTTCTTCAACCTGATTCCTTTTTCCTCAAAATCATGCATGCCACTCTGAAGTTTTCACATCTCTGTTCAACGCTAAATTACATCATGATCCCCACCCAAAAACGGCCTTTGCATTGTGTGGGTTCGTCATCGAATTGATAGTCATTAGAAGCTCGTACTACATTTGATCTTAGCCTTGATTAAAATCTGATCACGGACAAGAAGAACCGAGGCAAGGGCTTCTGATTTTCACTTTCGCTGGGAAATTGAAAATCTTTCTAACTCTGGAAAGCTGTCACCTTGCTTTCACATGTCTTTGTGTTTTTTTATCGCCTTTTTCAGTGGGACAATAAGGCAAGAGCTTTATTTCTTGCCCTGATTGAGTGAAACAACGTACTAAAGCTTGATGCTGCCAGATACCATGATAATTAATCAGATGTCAACACAGACGCGAGAGCCTCACCCTGTTTTGAAATTTAAATCTAAATCTGGTCAGTTAAAGCACACTAGACAGAATTTAAGAATAAAAAAGGGAAGCTTGGGAATATTTCTCTCAAAAGAGAAGAAAGGGGTGGGTTTGAAATGTTTACTTCGGGCACAATGGTGGATTAAATGCAGGACGCGACACTTAATTACAAAAATACAAAGTAAATAGGTGAGCGCGAAAATTTAGAGACATTGGGAAACAAAAGAGCCTTTGTTAAACGTAACGAGACACAGATATGGATATATGTACGAAGAAGTTTAATTATATTATTATTATTGTCCACTCCGGGAACAAAATGGCAACGAACAAAGATGACACGTGGGAATTGGACTCGAATAATCAAACGCCCCGCCAAAGCTGTTCGAACTTGTGAGCAAATATATCCTAGGTCTTGCCTTTACAGATGTTAGGACAAGTTAAGAGGATAAAGAAAACAACTAATGAACACATAGTTCAAGTAGTAAAAAATTGTGCTAACTTAATCAATAGTTTTAAATTCGAATCCTGAACATGTAATTGTATTAAATACTTGTTGAAAAAGCTTTGTTACTCCAAATATATACTAGGTTTCGTTATTAATGAGTAATGTGTAATTGTATTAAAAAAGGAGAAAGAAAATAGAGTCATGGATAGGGTACATGCTAAGAAATAAGAAGAGAGTACTGAATTAGAATTTGAAAAATGATGTCAACTAGAGCCCACTCAGCCTTGTTTGCCCCGTTGAGTGTAACATCCCAATTTAAATTTTAATAGTTAATTTGGGTTAATAGAAATAAAAAAAATTAATTAAATAAAAAAAATTTAAAAAAATAAAAAAAATATATTATTAAATTATTATTATAATAAAAAAAAAGAAAAAGGTTTGAAAAAAAAAGGGAAGGAAGAAAACGTGCCGCCGCCTCAATAGTAACAATAGTAAAATAAAATAATAATAAAAAAAGAAGAAGAAGAAAGAAGAGAGAGAAAAGAATAAAAAAAATGTGTGGGACCCACTGAATTTTTATAAAAACTCACATGTTCCTTCGTTTCTTCATTCATTCCTTCGTGCGCGCTGAGGCAGAGAGAACGCGAGTCGCCGATGCGAAATATCTAAATTTTTAAGGTAAGAGTTTTTAATAAGATATTTAGGATGTGATTTTAAGCTTTTCAAGACTAAGTAAGTGTTCTAAAATTTTTTCTTAGTCATCCTTCTTCTTTAGTTTCTGAGTTTGTAGTGGTAGAAAATTTAAGATCTGGAAGAGGGATGAATTTATGTTGAATAAATATGATCTTTGAGGTTGTCAGTAGTATAATAAATGTTCTAGAGTATAAATTTATTGATGATCTTTGAATCTGTGGCTTATGGATCAAATTCTAAACTAGATCTGAAAATATATGTTGATTTATTGAGGTTTAGATGATTATTTGGGATGAGAAATGAATTATTATGGTTATAGGATTATGATTCTAAGCTAGAGACTTAATTTTTAATTTTTGGGTATTTTAGGTACGAATTTATGAAATAAAAAGAAAATTTTGATAATAAAAATTAGTTTAGAAGTTGATTTTTAGATTATTAATGTTTATTGATAATTAAAAGAGGAGTTAAAAATTTTACTTAATAGTATTGACTCTAGATTTGTATTAAGATTGAGATTAGGAATTATGTTATATTTTTAATTCTATTATTAGAATTATTTTATTAGTTTCAAAAATTGAAACTAATATTTATAAATAATATGTTATTTGTAGATTGTATTACTGGTGAAGATTGTGGTGAGAGAGAAATTTTAAGGAATAATTTATTGAAAAAGCCACAAGGTAACCATGCTTTTAATTTGTGATTAGTGTTACTTCATGTTAATTGGGTGATTATTGAGAAAATTATGAATTTTGTAATATTATATAATTGTGCAATATTATTATGAATTTGTTTAATTATTGTGAAAGGTGTTGGGAGACTTGCTATTATTGTTGTATTTATGTACCACGTGGTATGCCCCTATTGGAGCTCAATAGGTGGCTTGTAAGGGCTCAGGCTAATCTACTTTTGGCCGGGTAATTTAGCACCGAGTGAGGGCTACGGCTCGAGGTTAATGGAGGGATATAAGGATGGTTGTTTGTGTTTATTATAATATTTTTATATTTATTGGAATTATATTATTTTTAATTCTCACTTAGTAAGCACACACTTAACTGTTTGTATACACTATCATAAATTGGCTTTGGTTACTGGGACTTTTGAGTCTCATTATGTGGTTAACAATTTTCAGGAGAAGAGCCACGAGTGACACGTGGAGGAGTCCTAGAGGCTTAGTGGTATAGATCCACTGTCTCTTTTGGGTATTTAATTTATGATTTATAATGTGTTATATTGCCAATATTAGGGCTTTTTGTTTATTGTCAATTATATGAATATATAAATGTAATCATGCTTTTCAAACTATTTCTATTTTTGGTACAATTTGGATGACTGTAATTTTAATATTTGGTTTACTTTGGATTGGTTAAAATGGCATGATTATAAGGCCAAATAACTGGCTTGTGTTGAAAATTGACTAAATTGCTTATTTTACTTGTTGGGAGTATAAGGATGGACAAATGTGATTTAGTTTACTTGTTGGGAGTATAAGGATGGACAAATGTGATTTAGCCTAATGGCATGTGGGAGGTAAAAATTTTTCTGAAATGTTATAGTGTGTGAGTTGAAGCCAATTATAAAATATTTTATATCGAAATTATTGATATAAAAATGTGTTGGGTGGCTGTAACCCAACTATAGTTGAGTTAAATTATTTAAAAAAAAAAATTGGTGTGTTACATTGAGCCCTCTATATAAAACACTCCTTAACTGGATGGGCCTCACGGCCCAAAAACTATATGGTTCTGCCCCTGCGGTTGGTTCTGTTTATATCCCTCACAAGTACGCTTGAAGTTTGATATGTGATTATTATCCGAAGTTTTTTTGCCACCTATTATCTAGAGCAGATAGCCAACAATATATCAAATCAACGTCTGAATCAAATCATCAAAATATGAAAATATAATATAAAGTGTGAAATACGAACTCGTGAACTTCGTTTTCTTAAAAGATGTATTCAATTCCAATCAGTTTTGGAAAAGCTATATTAAATTTCAAATTTTCAAAAAATCATTTAGCAGTAATTTTCTCAAAACACAAAACAAAAAGTGAACTCGGTCCCTTGTTTATGGGGGAAAAAGCTTTTGAACCAGCTATGATTACAATAACCGGCTATGAAATACAAATGGCCCCGGGACTCTGGAATTCTCATCCTAACGTTGATCTTGGATATGTCATATGACAATAGGCGGTTATCACAGAGTTGACAACCTATTCTGGTAAAAAAAAAAAAAAAAAAGTTGACAACCTACGAGGAGTCACGTGTCCATGATGACAACAATTTGGAACGACACGTGATCTAGAACCTGAGCACTAGATTTTTGAGACATGAAACTGGAAACGCCTGCGATTAATGCGATCGCTACTTTTCCACTTCGTGCGGAACCCTTTGCCCGCGCCGTCCTTCTTCTATTCACCAAACCTAAGATTACCGACCACTGCCGGGCTCTGCAACCTCTCTCCATCAATGGCGGCTATGGGTTCGTTCGCAATTTATTTTCTTTTCACAATTTCTGAGTTTGTCTGTGCTGAATTTTCATGAATAATAATTTGTCTCGGATGAACTACTGGGAGTTTAAGGTTCTTCTCTCACGACTGAATCAGCCACAGATATTGAACAGTAAAACTCTCGGCATTTCTTTTCCAGATCCGGGGAGTAACTCAACTAGTTCGCTGGTTTTATGCGGGAAATCACTGGCCGAGAATGAAATTGCTAAAAAAATCAAGATGGATAATACTTTGAAGCTTCCTGACAGTAGTGAAATTTCGATTGCTCTTCAGTCTGAATTGGATAATGAACCTCTTAAAGAAGATTCCTTTGGAATTGATTTATTCATGAACTCGCTTTCCACTCACAAATTTGGCCGGTTTCTCGTTTGGTCCCCACTGTTGTCTTCAACGCACGACGTGGTTTCACAGTATGTCTTCCAGAGTTACATTGCTGCATTTTGTATCATCTACGTGATTTAATGTCATGTTATTTTAAACTAGACCTCGGCTCTCAGCCCTGTGCATTAGATGGAGACCAAGGAACAAGCCGCACTACTTGCAGCTCTGTGAAGAGAGTGGCTTCCTCTAACTTTTACATATATATATTGGTATTGATGATGGTGATGATTCCAAATTATTTTTCTGCAGCAACTTTTGTGAACTTCCCATTGGCACGGTTTGTGTTGCTGATGTTCAGACCAAGGGACGAGGTTTGAGATGAAAGTGTTACTGTATTTCTGTCTAGTCCATTTACATTTGGGTTGTCAGGTCAAAATGGTTTAATTTCCATAAAATCTCAGGTCGGTCAAAGAATGTGTGGGAGTCTCCGTTGGGCTGCCTCCTATTTTCTTTCACTCTACAAATGGAGGATGGACGGGTTGTTCCTTTACTACAGTATGTAGTTTCCCTGGCTATCACGGAGGCAATAAAGGATATCTGTGACAAAAATGTAATCGTTTGATCTTTAACTACTGGCTTAATCACTGGTCTAGTGCTTTTTGAACTTTAGGTATTCTTACTTCAGTACCATAGAAGACAATTCTGCTGAGCAAGAAGAAGTTTTATCCCACTCAGTGGGGTCATTTTTTTGAGAAAATTAATTATGATCTTTGCAGTATGTGTCTTTTAATCTTGAAAATGTAAGTCACAGGTATCTGCAAGAAATATGTTATGAAAAAGAATTTCATTTTGCTTAGCTCAGTGCCAAACCTGTTTGGTTAGTTTTTAAAAGAATAAGAATGTAAGCACAGAACCTATCAAAGATGAAGCACACATTTGCTGCAAGTTTTCTGTAAAGAAGAGGAAGATTGAGTTCCATATTTGTAAAGTCACCGTTAACAGGATGGTTAGTTGCTCAGTAAGTTTGTATTTTTGAGAAACAGACTATTTTCATTGCGCATGGTCAGTCACTTGAACTTTCTTGCTCAATTTTGTGCAATACTTAATTTGTGATTGATTCTTCTCTTAAATGTTTCTTCTTTCAACACTTTCTACTCCAGGGCTTACCCAGTGTTGATGTAAAAATTAAGTGGCCAAATGATCTCTACCTAAATGGTCTTAAAGTTGGAGGCATTTTATGCACCTCAACCTATAAATCTAAGAAGTTTAATGTTAGTGCAGGTAACAAGACATACTCTTGAAGTGCTATTCTATGGTGGCTGATGGCCGACCAATGACTGTATATACTTTCAAATGCTTAATCAACTAATCTCTTCTCTGCAAAAATTTAAGTTTTGTTAATGTCATTTTGGTATCAGCAAATTGTTCTTCAAATCTATGCTCGTAATAAAGATAGTAATGCATAGCTCTTGTAGGTATCGGCTTGAATGTCAACAATGAGAAGCCAACAACATGTTTAGATTCGGCTCTGAGAGAGTTGTCCATGAAAGGGTACCAATTTCGGAGAGAGGATGTTCTGGCAGCCTTCTTTAACAAATTTGAGAAATTTTATGACCTTTTTGTGAATCAAGGTATTATAGTGAATAATTTGAGTACTTTCTCGTGAACATGTATATAAACCTTCCCAAGTCCTGCCCTCCTTCACTGTCGATCCTGATGAAATGGCTATACAATAAAGAACTGTTACGGATGGGTATCCGATGATACTTGTAACTTCATCTTTTTATATAATTAAAATGGATTATATGGGCTGTCATATATGCTTCCCAATCCTTCTGTGTTGTTTTTCATTTATCAAGCCATACCTGTAATTCCAAGCACGAACATTTTTAGACCTTGTGGATGCAAGAGTTTGGCTATCAACTATGTCCTCTTGTTAGGTTTTTATTCTCAGAGGTTTGGCTTTGTTATTCAAAGATGTTAATCTTGGCCTCTATTCAAGAGAAAGAAGGGAAGAACTTACAATCTATACCTAAGGGCTAAAAATTCAACTTGACGTTCTGTTTTCCTTTATAGTATACTTTATAATTTATCCTGTCAGGAATGTTTAATAATTAAGGAGCCATAATGAAGTGTCAACGGTTTTGGTTTTATCATGGACCTGTTAAATCAGAGTTTTCTTGCCCTCACTTTATTCTGTCAATTAATAACTAATTGCAAATCAATAATTTGCAGAACTTTGCATGGCTTATGATGTCAAGTTCACTTGCTCCATGTGATGCAGGATTCCAAACCCTGGAGCAGCTATATTATAAGACATGGTTGCACAGGTGACGTGGATTTTATTTACTGTCGATCTCATCTGTAGGTTCTTGTGGGTAATGGGATGAAGAAAAGCCTGGTCCAGCTACAATAGCTTTTGCCTCTGACACTTGTGGCATGCATGCTAAATGCACAGAAATGTATTAGCAAATATTAGTTGTAGATGAAATCTTAATTGGGGATTCAGGCAGGATCTAGTACTGATGAGGATATGCATCATGGTTGGGGTTGGGGAAAAAAAAGTGAGAAGTGGTGACTTGAAGCTGCAAACTTGTAGTATATTGGCAAAATTGTGATAATTTTTTGTCAGTCTTCCTACCTCAAATCTGACAATTGTTAATCTGGAATTTTTCATTTTTCTATCAGCTTTCCGGATGACCTATATTGGTTTTAGTGAATGAATGTGTGTGGCTATATAGACTATCTAAAAAACTCAAAACTAATGATATCTTTGTCCTGTAATACCCTCTTTCATGCTATACCGTACCCATTTTCTTCTGATCTGCCAGACTGGGTCCTGGCACTTACTTTGTACAAAAAAATCTGGGAAAAAAAAAAGAATTTGGATTAATGATCTGCCAGACTGGGTCCCGGTACTTACTTCAAGATGGCTTGTTGTTTACCTTTTTATGCCCTTTAAACATGATAGCCTAACCAGTAACCATGAAGGAGTTGAACTTGCATCTGAAATCCTATATCGTATATGCCAAAGCTGAACTTAAGTTGGTTGAATCTAGTTAGCAGTTTGGATGTTATGCTGTATGCATGATCATATTTATTCACACGTGGAATTATTTAGCTTGAGTAATCCAAATATTCAAAATGTCATGCAGTGGACAAAGAGTTATTGTGCAGGAAAAGAATGAGGATCAAATGATTGAACACGTGGTAACCATTCAGGTTTGGCGGATATGGACATCTTTTGACTTACTGTGACAAGTAACGGCATTCTGGAGTTGATTTTTTAACAACGAATATAGATTTGTTTAAAAGCAAACAATTGTGCTTCGTAACTGCAAGTTGATAGTATATATCATCTGTCAGCCACTTACAAATGATATTTTAAATTGTTTAGATAAGGTTTTTCATTGTTGTCAGAAAGGGTTGTATTATGCCTATCATTTAATTAATTCTTTAATTATGCAGGGTTTAACATCCTCAGGCTACTTGTTGGCCATCGGCAATGATAATCAAATGTGTGAGCTCCATCCTGATGGCAATAGGTAAAGAATAGGTTTTCTTCCAATCTTCATGAATTAGGTACGAATATTTGATATTTGTGTTTGGGCTGAATATGAAACCTCACTTGTTCAACCACGAAAAGTTTGTAATTTCTCATGACTTGTCTCCTGAGTTATTGTCGCTTTGTTTATTTAATACTTCTGAGTATCCTCAAAACACTTACTGAACGTGGGCCTTTGGGTTCTTGAATTTTGCTTGTGCACGAGTTTTCAGAAAAAATGGCCAGTGTTATGTAGTACATTAGAAAATCAGCAAGGGAAATTTCTCTTAGCTAAAAGATGTCTGATTAGACATTCTTCACTTCTACTATAAAAAATATGCACACATTTTTCTTCAAATCAAAAGCCTAAAATACGTTTGAGAATCATATTTATTTCTTTTACTAGAAAATTATATTTATAAAAAAAACTGTTATCCAATTTATTTATTGTGTTGCAAAAATGGTTTATTCTATATATTAAAAAGTGCTCAATGTTAGTTAATACCTGTATAAGTTATAAATTGAAAGTATGTTGGTTCAAATGAATATATTTGTAGTTTATTTTTATGCAAGTGAAAAAACGTGGCGTAACTTTTTTTTTTTTATTTTAGTAGAAAATAGTATAATGTTTGAAACAAAGGAGGATAGTAAAATATTTATTGATTTGAATAAAGGTGATAAATTTAAAATCCAAATTCAAGTAGTAAATTGACAGTAGAGAGTGTATGAAGAAATAGTGTTAACAAGGCACAGACACCAGTGTGAGCTGCAATCCTGTGACCTGGGAAAAGTAAATTATAGAGGGCAGTCATGTTCATGATGTATGAATACTAATGCTCTTGTGAGATTCTACAGATACATAAATTTCAAGCAAGTTATTACTTTGCCTTGTCGTAGCTTGAACACTTATTCCTCTTCTTTGGCTGTAGCTTTGATTTTTTCAAAGGACTGGTTAGAAGGAAACTTGAGTGAAGACTGAAGAAGGTTCCATAGCAGACTCCACACGAGGCAAGAAATCTTCCGCACTGTACACAGCATGAAGAGCCTGGCTTTGTAGCGCAAAATTATCCAATGATCAAAACTTGTTCATTGTAGTTAAAATGTACGCTACTATCGCAGATTGGCTCTAATTATGGCATGTAAGAAACTACGTACATTTGTAACCAAAACATAATATATGATGATAATATTTTTCCCACATCTTGGTAGCTAGGACTTGAATTCATGATTACTTTGACAATCATTTGCAAGGAATATGGTGGTCTTTTCCTCGCCAGCTATGAAATCACTGGAATAAATGTTTCTTTGTTTGTTGCCTAATGTTGTCCTTTGCCTCCCGAATGAACTATGCTTGATTGTGAAGCGTCATCAGAATAATTGTGTTGACCGACATTCATCCACATCGATCCCACCATGACCTAAGTGTTTGATTTCGTTTTAAACATGTAGGGGCGCTTTTTCTTTCCTTCTGTAATTAAACATTTGGCTCTAGACAAAGGGAGTGGGGGGAATCGACCCTTTTGGTGTGAGACAAACTTGTGAAGTGACATGTTCTCTAATAGTGTGGTACTCGTTATTTTTTCTTAACCGGTGTGGGTCTTAATGTCTTCATATGATTGTATTCCTATAGAACAAAAGAGTTCTCTACAGGCGCACATGCACAACCCTTACTGTTTCAACAAAATGCCTAAACGATTTGTGGCTTAGAGGCAATAACTCATGACAGATGTTTATGTAACATCCGATGTGTCTGTGACCACCTGTGGATCATTTGGTGGTCGAGTCATTCTCACAAGGACAGCCAAATGGAAAGTGGGTGGAAGTCGACCTCTATCTCCCCGTCATTCGTTAATGTTTCAGATATGCCAAAAACCACAGCAGACATAGCTTCCCTCATTTGGATCAAAGAGCGATGTAGCCATTAATTCTTAATTAAGATATAGTAATATGAAAGCCGAACTAATTTAAGTAAGCTGACCAACTGAGCGAGCGAGCTAGCGAGAGCGAGAGAGAGAACGTTTAAACTGGGGTTGTCGTTATGTAATGAAAACAAACACTTAGGTTAGTAAGATGTAGCTCTCCATAGGAGACAAATGACCTCAATATAAGACTTGGTGTTTGCTGGTAGCTCCGTTGTCACCACGTCTCGAGCCCCATGGAGTTTATTTACACTGTTTACGGAAATAGATCGGTGAAGGATAAAGCGAACTTGTAATCACGTCTCGAGGCCCATGGAGTGTCTTCCAGCAGGTTTGGGAAAAATGCATGGTTGGTATATGTCACCATCAGATATCGATCTGTAATATTACTAAATAATTTATACCATAGCAATTGTACTGATCATTGTTTAAATACAAAGGAAGTTAAAAAAAAAAATGAAGGTTCCTAGTACCACAGTCGCTATGGAGGGAATAAGGTCGTTTTGAGCACTGTCAAGAAGATTTGCGATTGAAAATTTCACCTTCGTCACATGATTACAAGAGGCTTCGGGAAAGTGAAGATCCTCAACACGTCTTGAATACGGACAAATGAAATCAGAGATTTGGTAACGGGAAAGAAAGTTGTGGGGTTAATGAGCAAATGATGAGTCTATAAGCACTTTTACACTGTGGATAATGACCGGAGCAATGATAGTTAATGCGAACGGTTTTAGAAACTGTGGAAATGTCAAAAGTGAAGAGACGAAACTGGTGAATGCAGTGTAGTGGTCCTGGAGAGGCACCCACGACAGACCTTTTGTAGAGGCAAGAGGAAAGAGATTAAAGGTGACGACAGGAAATGATAAAGCGAAGGGATTTAAGAAGCATCTCACTGGAAGACAGGCAAAAGGCATGAGATGGCGTTAAGAGCTGCCGTGAATTAAATTGGGGAATGACAATCCCTTATGATTAATGCCAAAAGCAGATTAGTCAAAGATCCTTTGGATGATCACATGGGGGAGCAGGCCTTGGCGGGCCCCCTTGATTGTGAATGCGACCCCTTTTCAGTTTTCACAGGTCATCACCGTTTTTGTAACAACGTGGCGGATCGAATAGCACCCCCAACCCTCAGTTAAACATACGGAAATTTTTGAACCGTTGTCGGTTATGACTACCTCCACAACTATTTACATTAATTTAATGAAATAAAATCTGAACTGATGAATACTGATCTCTCCTTTTCCTTTTTGCTATTCAATTTCCGGGGCACGCATGCGTGATGCATGAGACCTTGGACAAGTGATCTCAAGTGTACTTTGGATTAATGCCATATTCTACGTTTTCCGCTGGTACAAGCAAAGGGATAATCTCAGCATTATCGAAATAGATATATATGATCAAATTCACTCATTAAAGCCAGCGAATCACAAGAGATTGTCCCCACGAGACCTGGTAGTGGCTGAAGAAAGTGACACACACACACACACACACACGTATGTATGTATTGATTTTCCACGCATGAGTTGTGGAAATGGTTATTCTTATGTGCGTTTTTCTTCCTGACATCGTGGTTCGTGGATGCATGTATTATTATTATTATTATTACTATCATTATTATTATTATTATCATAAACACTGTGCAATACAAGATCCTCGGAAGGTGAGTGAGCGATCGAGAGAGAAGGACGGGTGAGGATGAAGAATGTGAAAGAAAGAGGAGGAAGGCGGGTCCGATCATGTGAGGAAAAAGAAGATTGTCCGGTTGCATTTGGAAGAGAGAGAAGGGGTGAGTGTGAGCTTGTTTCGCCAGTTTGGACCATTTGGTCACATTTGAACGAATCTTGGTGTGCACGCACTTGAATTGTGGGCTCTTTAATTTGTGTCCTGTGACTCTGAAAGAGATTACATCACTCCAACGTCGCATCACCTCGCCCTATATTCCTGGCGTCCTTTGTATTCTCTCGTACCGTTAATCTGTCATGCGTGGTTTGATTTCATTAGGCTTTTCCTAATGCTCAAATTAAATGTTGCAAATCAAATATTTCATAATCCTCTGTATATGTCATGAAGAAGGGCACGGGATCTCGTCAGTGGCGTTGAGCCTTATGTGAATTTAACCGTCGGCTCCCCCCCCCCCTTTCCCGGGGGCGAATTTGCTCAGATGAGCGAACTATTTGATATTGATTAATGAGTGCTGCAAATTCTTTTTTTTTGCCACACAAGTGCTTCATTTTTTTTTAACACATAAGAAAATTTTGACAAAATATAGATGTTTCAGATAAGATAAAATACATGACATGAAAACTTTTGCGTGCTTCGATAAAGTCTTATGGTATAATAATTATATTTAAAAAAAAAAGTAATCTATAATATTATAATTTTAACTCGATCATAACTTAACCTTTTAACTTATTATCATAACTTAACCTTTTAACTTATTATAACTTGATCATTATAGTCTCAACTTTATTATAACTCAATTTTAAACTTTAATTTAATACAATTCAGTCTTTATATAATTTTAATAATTTAAAATAACAAAAGTTGAATATATGATATTTGTTTTGACCAAGATATCAAATTGCCTACATGAAGTCGGAGATGCGGGGGATATTCTAAATGGAAGAGGCGGACATTCTTGATCTGTCGCGGCTTTTGCTAAATTCTGAAAGGGGAGATGCACGAGAAAACCAAAGCGGTGGCCAATGGTTCTGGAAATCGGAATGATTCCAAGGTTCCCCAGTCTTCATTTCTTAGTCCGCCCAATTAAGACTTAATTCATTAGCCACTCTGCCCCAATCCAATAAGTTTCAAAATGCTCCCTCTCGTTTGTATGTTGGAATTAATTTTGATAGAAATAAAAATGAATATAAAAATAAAGATAAATATAAAAATGAAAATTGAAAATGATATTTAAAAATATGTTTGATGTGTGTATATTCCTGATATAATTTTTATTCAAAATATCCTCATTAGAAAACTACACTCACAGAAACCCAGATCACCAACAGAGCAGATTAAAAAACTGGAAAATAAAACAAACTGGAAACGATATCTTGGATCATCTTCGGAAAATCAATATCCTTGGAAGAATTGATGAAGCTAAACAAAAAAGAAAAAAAAAGGAGTTTGAATATATGTAAGATTGATTTTGTGAGCATCAAAACTTGGGGGGGGGGAATCAAAGAGGCGAATCTGGAAACAAAAATCAAGGAGGGAGGAAATCGAAAACCAAGATCCTCCTTCAGCCACAGAGAAAGAAAGAATATCATGGATCGTCTTCGTAATTTGCATCTTCCAGTCCAGCAAGGTATGAAAAGGGAAGCAGATAGCAAGTTGGAATGCGACCCCCTTTGTTGCTATCGAATCGAAGACAAAGGGCAGGACAATGGTGGTGGTCGCTGTCGCTATCTCAGAGCTGGACGTCGCCACCAGTGCTAGTTGTTCGAGGTCGTCGGTGCTGAGACGTTCACCGGCTGTGGGGAAGAAGATGGCCCGCGGTGGGTGGCAGCTTGCGTGGATGAGAGAAGAGAGTGATGGGAAGTGGACGAGTCAGGAAGGGTAAAAAATGAAAATATATATATATATATATATATATAAGGAAATACAAAACTGAGATTTTCCATCATTTTTTGTGAAAATGACTTCCATTTAAAATTAGTTTTCATTATACCAAATAAGTTAAAATTTCATTTCAACCATTGATACTATTTTCAACCTCCTCAATTCAAACACACCAAGCAGGCCGTTAGTAATCACCATAATTCCATATCAATGACAGAGTCATCATAGGAATAACGTTATAAATGCAAGAGTTATGAGATTATAGTTCAATAATACTCTCTCGTCTCGTTTATAAATTACTTTTAGTGTGTTTTATTAAAATTAAAAAACTTTAAATATTATTAATATGTCATAAAAATTAATAAGTTTCAATCTTTACCCTTGATAAGAATAAAAAACTATTTTTAAAAACTTTTTTTAAATTTAATAAGAGCATAATAGTAAAGATAAAAATATTCTATAAATAGAATTAAAATTAATTTTTTTTATAAATATGATCAGAGGGGCATTCTCATGGAGCATCAAGTACTTATTATCAATTACTCCTATCTTAACGATGCATATTGGTAAAAGATTTTTTTTTTGTTAGAGTTTTTTTTTAGTCAAAGAGAAAAATATATTAATCAAAACTGTATATCAGACAGGAAAAATCATAAGGGAAACAAAAGGGAACGAAAGCGGGCGGGACAGTTACATGAGGGTGCTAATTAAGAGT